TTCGAAGGGTCGTCGATGCGAGTCTCGACGAACGAAAACGTGTGTACTATATCGTAAGTCAGGTTGAACGAAAACATCAGTTGATTGAGGTCGAGTGGAAGCAGCTTTAACTGAACGCATTGCGTTTGTAAGCCTGTTCGTGTAGGAGGTTAGATCCATGTTCATTGAAGAGGACGAAGAATCCACGAATTCTCCTGGAAGTCGAAATGTCGTTCCATAAACGAGTTGAGCCGCAGTGTATCCAATGTCAGCTTTCACTGCATTGCGGATACCTAGTAAGACGAGTGGAAGAGCGTCGGTCCATTGTGAAACGTTTGCAGCTGATAGCGAAGCTTTCAGTTGTCGGTGAAAACGTTCTACCAACCCGTTTACTTGTGGATGGTAGGCGGTCGTTCGGAATCGAGTGATTCCTAAAAGAGTGGTCAGACGACGGAAAAGATCAGATTCAAACTGACGTCCGCGGTCTGTAGTGATGGTTGAAGGGCAGCCAAAGTTTGCTACCCATCGTTCGACGAAGGTGCGGGCCACTGTTTCAGCAGTGATGTCCTTGATAGGTACTGCTTCTGGCCATCGAGTGAAACGGTCTACGCAGGTTAAGAGATAAGAATATCCATTTGAATCTGGTAAAGGTCCTACCAAATCCAGATGAACATGGTCGAAACGAGCATCGGGAGTTTTAAACGAGCCTAAGGGACATTTATTGTGTCTGATAACCTTAGATTTTTGGCAGCTTACACAGGAGCGTGCCCACTCCCTCACGTCTTTATTCATTTCAGGCCAGCAAAACCTTTCTGCTATAAGCTTGATGGTTGCACGGACGCCTGGATGAGAAAGTTTGTGCAATGTGTTGAAGACATTGCGTCGATAATGTTTCGGCACGATTGAGCGATCCCTACCTGTAGATGTGTCACAAAGTAAGGTTTCCTTACCTGTTCCCATCTGTTTGATGCGTAGTTTAAGTGTTGTGGACGATAACTCGTGCTGAAGATCAGTGTCTTCTTTTTGAAGCTGGGCGAGTTTAAGCAGGTCGATTCCTTGGAAACTGTTCAAGGAAGTTATGCGAGATAAAGCGTCTGCAACTAAATTGTTTGCTCCAGAGATGTGTTGAATGTCTGAAGTAAACTGCGAAATGTAGTCCAGTTGTCGAGACTCACGGGGAGAGTACTTGTCAGAAGGGGAGCTTAACGAGAAAGTGAGCGGTTAATGGTCCGTGAAAAGAGTGAATTCACGACCTTCGATGTAGTGTTGGAAATGCCGTACAGCACAATACATAGCTAGGAGTTCCCTACCGAATGTGCTGTACCTCGATTCGGTGTCTAGCAACCTTCTTGAGAAAAATGCCAAGGGTTGCCAGGAGTTGTTAACCCATTGTTGTAAGACTCCTCCGATTGCCGAGTCGGATGCGTCTACTGCGATGCTAATGGGTGCTCGAGTGTCCTGATGTGCGAGCATCGTTGCTTTAGCAATCAGTTCCTTAACTGTGGGGAATGCTTTTCGTGCGGTGTCGTCCAAATTAATGAATTTCGCATTTCCACGAAGTTGGTCGGTCAGAGGTTTCATAAGTAATGCGCATTTCGGCATGAAACGTCTATAGAAACTTACCAGGCCGTTAAACGTGCGTAATTGCTTGACGGTGGTCGGTTCTGGGTAATCCAGAATGGCCGCCACTTTGGTCCTAAGAGGTCGAATGCCTTGAGCATCGATAGGGTGTCCTAGGAAGTCTAACGAGTCGGTTCCGAATTGGCATTTCTGAACGTTTACAGTTATGCCATGTTTTTGAAGTCGTTCGAAAACAAGATCCAGATGCTTGAGATGTGTTTCTCTGTCCGGACTTGCGATTAGACAGTCGTCAACATACGCGTGTACGAAGTTGAGACCTCGAAAAACGTCGTCTATGAATCTTTGGAATGTTTGAGCAGCATTCCTTAGACCGAAAGGCATTCGCAAAAATTCATAGAGTCCGAAAGGAGTTATGATAGCTGTTTTCGGTATGTCGTCAGTAGCCATAGGGATTTGGTTATACGCTTTAACCAAGTCGATTTTCGAAAAGACAGTTGTACCTTTCAAAGTAGCTGTCAAATCGTGAATGTGAGGCAACGGGTAACGATCGGGAATGGTTTTCGCGTTCAATCGCCGATAGTCACCAGTTGGACGCCAATCGTTGCTGTCCTTTTTAGGGACCATGTGCAACGGAGATGCATATGGGCTACTTGACGGTCGTATGATTCCTAAGTCCATCATGTGATCGAATTCGTTTTTCGCTAACCTTAGCTTTTCAGGAGCTAGTCGTCGTGCTTTAGAGAATACAGGTAATCCTGTAGTCGTGATGTGATGTGTAACGTTGCTGGTTACACACGGTAGTTTCGGTTGAGTTTGTTGTATCCCAGGGTACTTATCGAGTAGTGGTTGATAGAGTGGGTCTATCATATGTTTAACTGTGACTGGGGATACTCTACAACCAGTAAAAGAAGTTACGCAAACGGACAAATTAGTGTTTCCGTCTACTAGCCTCCGTTTGCGCGTGTCGATGATCAGATTGTGGTGTTGTAGAAGGTCCATACCAATGATTGGCATAGAAACATCTGCAATAACGAAAATCCAGTGGATGGGTTTGCGTAAACCCACGTTAAGGTAAACGTACCTTTTGCCATACGTAGCGATCGGTTTTCCGTTTGCCGCCTGTAAGTTAAAAGCCGATTCCTGAAGCCGGTCGTTAGGATTTGCTGGGAGAACGCTAACTTCTGCGCCAGTGTCGACGAGGTAGCGAACTCTCGTTGTCACATCTGTGACGAATAACAGACGGCTTTGTTCGCCGGCTACGGTTGCCGTTAACGCGTGCCGGCTTGGAAGTTTCCCGAATTGGTTTTCGAATCAGTCGGTTTCGTGTTGGGAAAATTGCAGGGTTTTCTGCAATTTCTGGAAAACTTTCCATACTGGTTATGATACCAGCACCAGTCGGGGTTATCTGTCTCTCGTGGTCTAGAGACAGATCGCTTACGAGAAATGCTTCTACGTGGTGTGCGCGATCTCTTACGGTCGGTACGAAGACTAAGATAACGCGTGAGTGTGTGACATAAGTCGTTTATATCATTCTGAGTCGTGTGAGGTTTTTCTTTGACTGAAAATACCTCGGTAGTAGATTTCGTAATTTCTAAATGCGGTCGGCAGATGCAGCTAGTTCGTCTAAGGCGTTGTTCTGGAACGAGACCAGAACTGCTTGCACCTGTTGGGGAAGTTTTGACAAGAAGAGTTGTTTGAATAGACCTTCGTCGAAAGTTCTTGGGCCTATTACCTCTCTCATCCGTTGCAACATGTCTGTTGCAGAACCGTGTTGCAGGTCGATATTGTTGAAGAGTTGATCTAACCTTTGTCGATCGGTTAGGTCTCCTCGTTTAAGAATCGAGCGTTTTAAGATTTCGTAAGGATCGGAAACATCACTAGTAAACATACTAGGTGTTACGTACCTGTTGAATTCGCGCGGTAGTGCCTTGACTACTGCGAGGAATTGTGCACGTGTGTCGATCACGCCGTGCTCGGAGAAGTCGGCTTCTGCGTAGCAAAACCAGGCTTCGATGTTGTCGGGCCAGAAAGGCATCAGTTGAAACGAAGGCGGGGACAAAGTCTTAAGCTTGAGTACTTTAGGTGTCTGTTCAGTCATGATGAAGTATGAAGTACGATAATGAACAAGGGGAAAATATATATATCCAGGAAAAAACACGAAAAAAAATCACAATGTTTAAAAAAGTTAAAAAAAATAAGGCAATGATAAATAAAAATCCCAAAAAGGAACAGACTCACAGTTGCAATTAGGTGTACCAGATCGCGTCGGTTTCACCAATGTTGATGTCACAGGTATTCAGTGTTTGACAACGCTTCTACCAGTAACACCTTCTAATATATTTCGTTCCCGCCCAGAGAAATCAAAAGACAGAGTCGAGGAGATCGGAAGAGTATATTTGGCGATGACCAATATATCGGAATTCTCTGATCTAATCTGGCTAGCGATTGCGGTTGATGTTGAGCACGGCGTTACCACACGTGATCTGGTGCAGATGCCTGACCGAGCGCCTTCAGCTAGATGAGTCCACTAAAACATATGGTCAGCATCCAATGTCGAAAACCTAGTGCTATTTATTTTAGGGATTTATTTACCACTACACTATAAAACATGACATTGTGCGGCTGAAGTGACCACCGGATTAAATCGTCAGATTATACTTAAAAGGAATTACAAATTGGTTAAATTCCTTTTTACTAAACTTGGCTAACTGCTTGCGTTAAACTGAGAAGTAGAAACTTTCAACTTGTAAGTAGTTGTCTCCTTACCTGAACTCACAGCTTTACGCCGTCACTGAACCCATTACAATATTAAGTGTACGTGCTAAAGTTCTTCAGCATTATCCGCATGAAGGGTATTAATATGAAAAATATCGAAAAGTGTGCTGCTAATGTACTATATGAATGTTTGTACTGTATTTCGATAAGGCTGATATGAGGTTGGTTGTAAACACATAGATTCTGTTGAAGGTATCCTTATTAATTAAGAATTTAAGGCATAAAACCATCTTAATATGATGTTATATTGATAATTTCTGTGAGGGAATATAATCATAATGTAATTTGAAATATAAAAACCTCGAAAACCGCCAAATGCCAAATAATAAGCTAACCAGTGAACATACGCTTGTTAAGACAGGATTGATCAACATCTAAATCAGAATGATATCACGAAGACGAATGAGAAAAGTAGTGAATGAAGTTTGAAGGGACTGTACATTCAAGTACAAATGGTTCAAATTCAGATCAGATTCAGATTAAACATTTGCACAGAGCGCTTTGACATATGTAATAGATGGGGAAGTTAATAATAGCATAGTAGTGAGAGATAGAGTTATTTGAAATATCGCAAAGGAGTATGTTAACCGGATATCCAGGTAGTATAATTTCAATGTTCAATTATTTGAGCAAATGACACATTGGTGACCATTTTTAACTCTCCCGCGTATCTTTACGTTATTAACTGTGTGGTAGTCAAAGTAGGTATTGCTGTTATTTTTTTACATATGAAGTCCTTAAATGGTAGTTTTATAAACTTTATTTCCACACATTTGTCGAATTATCTGTCAAACCTAATATCCGAACCCGTGGCTGGTCTTGTATTGATCATACTTGGTTAATCTAGTGAAATATTGTTTCTGTAACACAAATTCACTTTTGAATAACGGACTCATGTTTAGAATCCTAAAGGTACCTTTTATAAGTGCTTTTCAGTGTTAAAGTTGGCTAACGATCTAATTATTTCCAGGGAAAATGACATGGACTCGAAAAGTGCTATTTATGTAACCCCTATGGGTTACATAAAAATAGAATTAGTGAAAGGTGCACCTTTCACTAACACCGAAAAGTTTCAGATAGATTTGCAACTTCCAACTTTAACAGGATTGCGTCCTGAATCGACGTTGCATAGGTATACACAGCAGCGTGTGTACAGATCTGGAAGAGAGAGTTGCTGACAACTCAGTAAAGGTTTCGTAAAGAAAAATACATGTACCGACCGTACATTGTCCGGAAAACATATTCACTTGAAAGACTTCATAGGACGAAAAGTTTCTGAAACAAAATCCGGCTCGTATCTTCTTGATCCTTTTCAATTTTTACACGAAGTTCCTAGTGATTTATCAAAATGCTCAAAATAAACTGGAAGGAATCAATTTAGTGTAACCAAATATGCGTCTGTAATAGATTTATCTCCATCCTTTCTGACTTGCCTCATAACTAGGTCAACCTATTCCCAATGTAACTGGGTTTTTTTAGCTTCACTACACAGTCTCTTAATCGACCAAACTCGATGTAGCTTCAAGTACAGGTTTATATACTTGGATATGAACCATACTATTTGAAGGCTGGTACAACTGCGCTAATAATCAAAGCAGTTCATGAACCTGTCAATTGCTGCGATCGTTAGGCTACTGTTCTGAATGTCATGGAGTCAAGGCAGATAATTTACCAAATGTTTGTGGAAAACTCTCATCAGCATTCTTATTTTCAGCAGTAGATATGTGTGGAGTGGTTTTTTTAATATCTGAAACTAACGATTTGAACCCCTGTACACATATTCCTGGTTCTACGTTGCGTATGACCTATTGACTTGCAGGTTTCTGGTTCAGACCATACTCCATTTACTCTCCGATTAAGGATAACATCAATAATATCGACATTTGTACAATTGTGCTCAATTTTACCTACTCTTAAGATTTATTATTTCTTGCTTATTTATCAATCGTTCGGCATCGATCTATTTCAGTTCATTTAGTTGTTTTCGTTTACCTACTATATTCATGAGTTATTTATCAGAGAGAAATGATATTCATACCCAGTTTTATGTTTGCTACTCAGTATATCTTTATTTGTGTCATAACTCAGTTTAGTTATTGTATTGTGAATACAAATCTATCTAGTTCCAAAATAAATAGCTCTATCCCCTTTATAGGATTAGTTATGCTAAGTTCTAATAACTCTGGAGCCAAACCAAGTTATCGGTTGAAACTTACGTAATAATAGTTTAGTACCTAGCTACTGTCACCAGCCCCTCGTTATTGGTCCGTCCCAAATTCTGAGCTCTCGAATTCCTCATAACCTTTTGTGTTTATTTCACTAATTTATATTTTCTTGTATCATACCTTTGATGTCTCATCTTTCCAATCACCATTCATACTGTTACCACTCCCACTACTCTGGGATTTGACCTGACAATTTCATGTCTGCGCTAATGGGGTGTGGTAACTAGGACTGATGTATGTACGTACCAGGTTCTACGTTGTGATTGATTGACTGAGTGAACAATGTTGATTATTTATTTATTTATTTATTTGGACACATGAATATTGGTACAAGAGAGCGCCAATATATATGCGCCACACAGAACAATGAATATTCGAAGAGGAATACAAAGAAAGAAAAAAAAAGCTAAGGAGCACAAAAAAAAGAGAGAACAATAACGAAGAGATTGGTGTAAGGTAATGTGCTAGTAAACAGGGAACGCAAAGGTACAATCGGAAGAAATCTTTCAGGTAAGGGAGACACAACCACTTTTTATGAAGAAAGTAAAAGAAGGTTACAGCAGGATCAAAAGGAGCGAGAAAAGTAGTTGCCATAGACATAGAGTTCATCGTTTGTGTGTGGGCTGTGACACTGCCCGGGTGCCCAGACCGAAGCAGGTGGTTATCTTAGGGGGCCACTCCCCGAGCCTTTGACCTAAAGTTCTAACCTACAAGGCAGTGGAGCATTGTAAGGAGATGCAATCCCATGGTAGCCGGTGACCAAAGATTGGTTCATACGCCATTTGTTCCCGCAGGATACTGGAGCCCATGTGCACCATTGATTTGGTTTGGGATCCAGTTAAAGCGCCGGACATTCGCTTTTCGTCCTCTCATTTTCGTAAACAACACCCCCGCCACGAGAAGGCAATGAGTAGGACTTCCCTTGCAGGGGCTGTATACGCGCGGCCGTGTGAGAGTATTTCGAGAGGGAGAGCGGACTCACGAACAATGTTGAGGCTAGGCATAGAGTTCTAGTTAAAGATTGGAAATCGTTTAATGATAAGGTATTGAATATTCATTACCTGAAGTGGTTAGGACACGTATTACATATGCCTAACTACCTCCTACCTCGACGGGTGATGTCTCAGTCAGTCAGCTACAACGTAGGACCAGGCATATATATGCATCGGTCCAAGTTGCCACACCTCATTAGCACAACAAGATGAGCACCAAATTAATAGAAATAGTCACTTCAATGGTAGTAATATATTAAAAAAAGATTGTGTATACGGATATAATACAGGAAGAAAGAATTAGTTCATATAAAGGTATAAAGTAATTTTAATCTTACAGTTTAAGAGCAGACAAAAAGTGCATACACCTACGCGAGTATGATCGATTCTGAGCCATGTCACGAAGAGTCTCCAACCACTGGTTACGATAGTCGCGCGGACCCCAACCAAGTAGTCTGCATCTCCCAACATGGCTCAGACTAGAAGTTAGTGATTTCAAGCACTGAGGCCACATTTTGATTTGGTAACTTTGGTAACTTTCTTCCAACCATCTCCAACACCGGTTAGCATTGCACGTCGTGATAATCGGTGTTCAGGCATACGTAACACGTGGCCCAACCATCTCAGTCGATGTAGGTTCACAACCTCATCAACTGATTCACCATCACTCCCTAATACCCTACGTCTAACCTCACTATTACTTACTGGGTGATCCCAGCAGATACGAGCAATATTTCTACGACATCTATGATCAAATACTAGTAGCTTACGAGTATCTTCTATTGTTAATGGCCACGTTTCGCAGACGTAAGGTAGAGCAGAACAAATTGCTGCTCAATATACTCGTCCCTTAATTGATGGACAGATATCTCGCCTTCGCCATAGGTGACGTAAGTTATCAGAAGCCAAACGACCTTTCTGAATCCGTGCAGAGATTTCGTCAAGCACTAACCCACTAGGACCGGTCAGGCTTCCAAGATAAGTGAAGTTGTCGACGCGTCCAACTACTTCACTGCCTATCCTTAGTTCAGGCGTTGATGCAGGCCAGTCCTGAAGCAACAACTTGCATTTAGAGGGGGAGGAACCCATCCCAAACATCCTGTCATTGTTGCTCAGTGCTACCAAAAGACTTCATTTTATCAGCATCCCCATACAGGACTATATCATCTGCGTATTCTAAGTCGGTAAGTGAACGTCCTATTAGGAGATCAATGCCCGAGAATTCAGTCGACGAGAACGCTATTTCCACCAGTAAGTCTATGATGTTGAAAGAAAATGAAGGTAGTGGACAGCTTTGAAGGACATCACTTGAGGTTGCAAAAGCAGATGACAGTTCGCCATAAGCTCTCGCTCAACTAGTAGTGTTCGAGTAGAGCCTTCACATGGTTTATGTACTTATGAGGTACACCTTGTAATGAAACACTGTCACAGAACCTCTCGGTTTACAGAGTCAAATGCTGCTTTCAAGTTTAGGAAAACTATCATTATCGGACGCCGATAAGTATGCTTGTTTTCTAAAACCTGACGGATGGTGAATATGCGGTCGATGCAGCCACAACCAGGTCTGAAGCCATCCTGATTTTTTCGTGTTTGCAGTTCACGAGTCTTTGTTAGGCATCTGATAATTATTGAGGATAGTATTTTAGATGCTATGTTAGTCAAACTAATTCCTCTATCCTTATCACAGGACGATTTTGATATCTTATATTGGAATGATCAGTGATTGTGACCAGACAGATGGGATTACATGCAGTTCCCAGATTTTAGTTGAAATATTACTCAACCTAATCGCTAAACCTGAACCACCATCCTTAAAGACCTCTGGAGCCAACCCATCTGGGCCAGCTGCTTTTCCTCATTTCAGATTATCTATAGCTTTTTGAACTTTAACTAGAGTCGGGGGGACCTACTTCAATGTTCCATCCAGGTTGTTTGGGAATGGAGAGTGGTTGTATAGTAGCTGAAGGCCAACGGAACTGCCTCCTAAAGTATTCTGCCCATCGTTTCAAACGTCTGGGCTGTCATCTTTTTCCGAGATCGTCTCACACTTGACTTCTTGGTCCCAGTTTCTTTTATTAGTCTGAATGGCTGCCCTCTGTTACTTACAGTCGCTGCCTTTTCCATCTATTGCTTTCGTTGCCCACCACTGCCCACGGTCGTTCCTTAGACTTTTGGTTAACCTGGATCTGATTTGTTTACGCTCTTCATCGTGTTCAGAGCCTGATAGGATGAGTTTACTAGAATCGATCAGCGCAATAGACTTAGTAGAAATATACTGGTTTTTCGTGACCCTTTGGTTCAAATCACGAACATATGTTGCTGCTGTTTGTACATCTTTCCAAGCAACATCTAGGTCAGCCTCGTTTTCAGAATTACCCAAAAATGATCTCAGTTTCTGAAATCTGCTTTTGGCTTTCTCGTCACCGAGTTCAATTCTAATAAGTCTTTTTAATTGTGGCTTTTCTGCGTCCAATGAGGTGCAAACAAATGCATGCTCGTATTAACGCATGATCCGAGTCTAAACATGCACTCCAGAAAGATCGACAGCCTTCTATCAAGCCGCTCCAACGATGACTGATGGCAATATGGTCTATTTGAGTCCATCGATGGCTTGGTGCAGGGAAGGGCGATGTCTGATATAAGCTGAAAGAAAGCTTGTGGCGGCCAAGTCACTATGTGGGATCAGTTTATAAAAGTAAAATTATAATAAATAATAAACCCGTTCACCAGTCACTTGAGTATGAGCCACACTAAATGAACCGACGATTGAAACTATCCGGTTTTTCAAACCGAAGTAGGTTCGGTGGGTTTCGGACATGACTGTCAGAAGTCGGATGCTTTAACCACTAAGCTACCGCTCTATCAGTCTACGAAGCCCTGAACAGTTGAATTGACCCATGCAGACAAAATGATTACCATCTGGTTGAGGTCTCTGCAATTATCGTAACCAGTCGGTAAAAAGAGATGTTAGATGACATGACTCAGAATTAGTCAAAATGGTTCAAGTCCATTCGCTCTTCATCTTCCCTTAGATCTTGAGTTCTTAAATTATTATGTACTTCTTTTCGTTGCATAAATTCAATCTCCTCGAATCATATTATCTATACCTTGTCGTTTCTGCTAGTGCTGACACTGTTACTTTTTCTATTCTGAAATATTCTTGATAATTTCATCCCACTGTGCTAATATAATGTGACAACTTCAATTTGTATGTTTCAAATCCCACGCTGCATATGACTGAGATAATGTTTAGTGATAATAACAGTAGTCCTCGTTCGACCACTTCACGGTTGGAAAATTTCGATTAAATTGCAGATTACCCTCTAAATACAAATCTCCTCACCGTTTAATTTTACAGATGTAAAGAACTTTCAACTACGCGTTACTCGATTAACAATGCCTCAATAGTTAAGTCATAAAATATCGGAAATGTAAGGTTAATTTGAGACCCATTGAAATAAACTTTGTCAAATTACGCGAGATAGTAAGAACCTAGTGTAAAATGTAATGAGCTTAGATGACTACAGTTATTAGGTTAAACTAGCAAACATTCACTATTTACTCTTGCTTTTCATTTTCTTAAGTTTTGTGGCATCATTTACCAATGAATTCCCTACTTATACAACCTTATTTCCCGTATTCGTTTACCCTGTTTACCAGTTCTGATAGTTTAAACTGATGTATCATTGTTATTTTTTTACTGAACTACCCGATCCATTAAACAAATCACCAGTGATATATCACACTAACTTTATTCTCATTGGTCTTATTGCTATCTTTGGATTTAGTTTCCAGGTTTCCATCTGTTATTGTGACTACTGCTATGTCCAACTCCGCTGCTGATGGCATCGAACGCAAACCTGGAACTTTATCCAAAACTTCAGTCTCAGGTATCTTTCTTTTTTCTTCTGTTGATATCGTTTTTGCTGATCTAGTGCTTAGTTTGCTTTTGGCAGTTTTAGCGTGTGAAACTTTTCAGAGTAGTTCACATTTTTGTCGAATAAAAAACTCTTTGACTTGTGTGATTTTTCCCTTTTTTAATTAAATATCTAAACAATTTCTGACTCGGGTTAATCATTATCATTCCATCTTACACATGCTACCATCTCCAGGTGGAAAATCTGTACGAAAACGTTCCACCGGTGATCCACAAGGTAGTTTTCGTAAAAATGTCCTCATTAATTTTATTGTATTGTGCATGCTATACTATTTTTTTGTTTCATTAAAGAAAATCATTCACTTTTGCACATCATTTCATTGGCATGATTTCCTATTAAGTCCCCCTCCCCTGCCACCACTCTGCACACATATCCACTCATATATATTTTGTCATCTCTTACATGTCATTTTGTCAAAATCATTACTTCTAATATGCATAAAACAGTATGCTGATGGCAGTTGTCGTTATGATGGTGGTTTTCAACAGCTTGATACGACAAATAACAGTGTTCAGCATTTCATCAGTAAATCTCGATCTAGACTATCATCTTCATCATTAACACTATCAGGTATTGGTTTGTGTTGTGTTTTGTTTTTCCTTTCACTCTTGTAGAGTTTTAGTGGTTTTTGTTTATCTATACATTCTATTACTTGTTTTGTTTCACTGTTTACCACTCCAAAACACCATTAGTGTTTATTTTATTTTGTTTTTTTAAGCAATCAAACTTTTCTCTATAAAAGCCATACTTTTATAGAAATTTCTCTTTTAGGTGCTGGCGCCGTGGATGAGGATGTATTTCGACAGTCCTTTATACCGTCCATGTCAATCACTGTAAGTCTACTATGACTATGCATTTTATCTACTTATGTAGGCATCTTCTCCCAAAGAACTTACGGAGATCATAAATCGTATAAAAGATGCACTTTCTGGGAATCCTGAAGAATGGGAAAAACGTGTAGATGCGGTAATTTCAATTATTTCCTTATTCTTCTTTTTGGGTCGTACTTATTCTAAAAATTCAATAATGGCAGTTTTTATTCCAAGTTAATATCAATTTCACAATAATTAAAACAAATTTTGTAGTCGTTTCCCAACATTTTATAGCAGCTCATTCTTTTTAAGTTCATTAATCTCTTTTCTATGATTAGCTCCTAATGTAGTATGATTTATCCCCCAGTGTTGTACTTAATTCATTTATATACACAAATTTCCTCTGAATTTGTAATTCCTTCTTAAAATTTTAAGTTACAATCAGTCCCCAAATAAAAATTAGGAATTTGCTTGGTTGTAATGTAAATCACTCTAAAATTCATCAAAAATTCTTAGTGCGTATTTTAGATCAAAATTAATTGACTATTTGTATTTTTGAATTCCATGCAATCTACTCTGTTATCATTTCTTTCTCTTCAGTTAAAAACATTACGTGCTATAGTTGCCAATGGTGCTCTGCAATATGATGAATTTATTCCCTTATTAAAAACTTTGGAAAATTCCATAGATCTTTCCCTGCGTGATTTAAGGTCTTCAGTTGTACGAGAAGCATGTATAACAGTCGCGTAAGTTAACATATGCATGACTACACAATTTATTAAAAATATTTATCCTTGGGTTATTATCATTGAAATCAAATTTTCAAGTCAGATCTCATCAATATTGTGAAAAGTTCTAATGTTTTTATCAATATAATATTTAAAGTGGTTAAACTGTTTTTTAATTGCGTGGTCCACTTCAGTATTTCATACATTTGAGTATTCAATCAAACAATAAGTTGACAACAAAGTTTCTCCTAACAATTATCCAGCTAAAATCATAGGTTGCGATCCCTGTTGCTTTATAGATATGCTGATTAACATCTTGGACAATTAAATATCACTTCTTTAAATTATCAAGTGTCTCTAGATTGGAATAATGTTTACCTGAAAACGGCCTCACTCATTTCGAGCTCTCCTTAACATCCGTTTACTCATGTCCCTATAGTACTTACCAAGCGTAACTCAACAAAAAACGTTCAACACTACATTTTGGTGGTTTAAAACCTACTCAGCTGTTAGGGATACGAATGTCAATTATGCAGTTTGCTATATTCAATCTAAACATTTGGAACCACTCTATTTCCTACTTTTCTCACGTAATATCCACTCATAATTTAAACTCCTATGTACTTGTTGTTCATTAGTTTAAATATTCAAATTTCAGCCACTGGGTTGTAAACTCAAACCATGTCCAATTTACCTAGGTATTTGTAGGAAACATCATCAGCTATCTATCTCACTTAATAGATAGTCTGCGTCCTAGTTAAAAAAAAACATGTTTTCCGTCACTGAGTCACATTTTTGAATTCCGCTTTAAAACGACCTCTAGATTTGCTCATTGTATCTCTTAAACCAGATAGGCATGAGGGATTCACGAAAGGAAATAATAGTATCAGGCACTAACAAGTATGAAATCGTACTTAACTTGGTAGCTCTAAAGAAATAAAGAATAAATGTATATATTTCTTTGTTACCTAGCGTCTCCAACCTCATGGAAACTAACAAGGAAGCTTGGATTGCTTGACATGTTTCAAGTCCAGCAGTTGATGACTTCATAGACTGGTGTAGTGTGTCAGACTGGCTGATGTTAACCATCTTTATTGGGCTACTCCTATATGTTAGTTAGGATGGCACATCAGGGTGGACGTGGGTTAAGTTTGCATTATCTATGTTTCGACTATTTCAGCCGAAGAAAGTGTACATCTTCATTCATTGATTCACTTCAAACCACCAAGGTCTTTAAAACATTTCATAACGTGTACTTCAACTATTTTCACTGGATTCATTTCCTTATATTCTTTTTGCTCAATAACAGCTTTTTATCTCAAGAAATTCGTAATCGTTTTGATCGTTTCGCTGAGAGTGTTTTACAAACAATTATTGCGTTATTATCTAATAGCGCTAAAGTTATGGCAACCAGTGGAGTGGTTGCGATGCGATTTATTTTAGAGGTAAGTAAAAATCTTCCAAAGTTACCATCGCATTATGTCCTTTTTTATCGAGAATGCTCTAGACGCTGGTTTCTTGACAAATGTTTCTCAGTGAGCTCAGGGAAATCTGTCCATTGTTGGAAGTCCAAACCCATCCTTCAACTCTAGTGTTGCTATCATTTATTTATTTATTTTATTTATTTGAACACATAAATATTGGTACAAGAGAGCGCCAATATATATGCGCCACACAAAACAATGAGAATTCGAAGAGAAAGAAAAAAAGGTAAGGAGCGTGAAAAAAAGAGAATAATAACGAAGAGGTTGGTGTAAGGTAGTGTAGTAATAATAATAGTAATAATGAGGGAACGGAAAGGTACAATAAGAAGAAACCTTTCAGTTAAGGGAGACACAACCACTTTTTATGAAGAAAGTAAAAGAAGGTTACAGCAGGATCGCCACTGGCTTCTATTCTTAGCCATATCTGATAACGTCTCTAGCCACTGTGTAGCACCATCTCTCAGACCCCAACCAGGGAGTCGTGAAGGACCGACAGAAGCCAGTCCTTTGCAGCTTTCTTTCATGCCACGACACCATGTCATGCACTGACCACCTCTCCGCTTCTTCCAACCAGTCCCAGAGTCGGCAAATAATGCACGACGTGGAATTCTCTGGGACGACATTCGGAGAACATGTCCAAGCCACCGAAGTCGGTGTTTCAAGATGGTGACACCAATTGAATTATCATCTCTGTGCCCGAACACACGATGCCGAACCTCTGCATTACTGACATGGTGTTGCCACTGAATGTCAGCAATCCTTCGGAGATAGCGATGATCGAACACAGAGTCGTCTAACATCCTCAACTCGGAGAGGCCAGGTTTCACAAACATAGAGCAAAACTGCTCTCACCGACGCGTTGTAGATCCGACCTTTTACAGCCAGACTAACATCACGAAGGCGCCAAAGGTGACCCAGATTGGTATAAGCCGCTCTGGCTTTCACTATACGTGCATTGATCTCATCACTCACACCTCCACCAGCACTTATGCAGCTACCTAGATACAGGAACTTCTCGACTACTTCTATCTGCTCACCATCCAGGGTGAGTACAGGATTGGAATCCTGCCAGTCTTGTAGAAGTACTTTGCACTTGGAAGGTGCAAAGCACATACCATACCTACGGACACTGATTGCCAACTGATTAAGTGCGGATTGCATGCCTTGGGCATTATCGCACAGTAAGACAATATCGTCCGCATATTCAAGGTCGAGAAGTCTTTCTCCAGGTAACAGATCCACACCGCCATTACTTACATCCATCAGAGCTGTTTCCAGAATGTCATCGATGGCAAAGTTGAAGAAAAATGGTGAGATTGGGCAACCCTGCCTAACCCCACTGCTCGAATGGAACAATGGAGTGAGGTGGTTGTATGCCCTCACTCTGCCTGAGGTGTTTGTATATAGGGCTTTTAGGATGTTAATAAACTTCTCAGGCACATCCTTCTTCAATAGACAATCCCAGAGAACAGTCCTGTCCAACGAATCAAAGGCAGCCCTAATGTCAAGAAACACTACGATTGTTGGCCTTTGATAAGTATGGCGGTGTTCTAACATTTGGCGGAGGGTGAAGATATGATCAATACATCCTCGACCAGAACGAAGACCAGTCCGCTCCTCGTGAGTCAATCTTTCTCGGGTTTTGAACAACCTACGAAGTATGACGGAAGCCAATAGCTTGGACGCAATCGAAAGTAGACTTATCCCCCGATAGTTGTTACAGGAACGACGTGAACCCTTATTAAAGATAGGGACAACTATCGACTCATTCCATGACGTTGGTACACTCTCTAGCTCCTAAAGTTTTGTAAACATCGTCGTTAGTTCCTTAGTCAGAAAGTCACCACCATCTTTAAAAAGAGCCGGAGGTACGTCATCTGGGCCAGGTGATTTGTATCGCTTCAAGAGTTGGAGTTCTTTGCGGACTTCCGCCTCATTTGATGGATCAGTCGTCACCGGCCATGGAGGGCAGGACAGTCTGACCGATGTTGCCGGAGCAGCAGGCCAGTTGAACTGCCCTTCGAAAAATTCTGCCCATCGTCCAAGACGTCGATGGATGTTAGTGATTGGCGTCCCATCATCCTCGCAGATTGTTTCACTCACACCAGACTTCTCGCTGCCGGTGGCTCGGATGAGTTGGAAGAGCTTCCGGTAATTACCAGATGCAGCTGCTGCTTCCAACTCATTAGCACGCTTCGACCACCAGGCTTCTCGGTCCTTACGCAAGCTTTGCCCAATTTCCTTGCGTAACATCCTTCGTTTGTGGTCAAACTCACGGTCACCCGGAGTAGACCGACGGGCTTCGATGAGTTGTAAGGAGCCTGCAGAAACCCAGTGCTTATAAGCGGGACGTTTCGCGAACCCACAACTGACTGTTCCCGCCATTTTTATGGCGTCATGCAATTGCAACCAATGCTCATCTATACTTTTCGGTGGAGTGGTAGCTAGCCTAGAGGCTAGCCCAGTTCGATACTTACTTGCAAAAGAAGTTGCAACCAGCTTGCTAACATCAATCCGTTGGTGGCGGTCACTTCGTTGTCCACTGAAAAGTAAGGCAAGATTGGCGCAGACCAAGGCATGGTCAGAGTCCAGATAGGTACTCCAAAAGGAACGGCAGTCTTGTACACAACCACGCCAGCGGTAGCTGATCGCGACGTGATCAATCTGAGTCCAGGCTTGAGATGCAGAGGGAGGACGCCAGGTGGCACATCGGTGATGACTGTGCCAAAAGTTAGTGCTAGCCAGAAACAGGTTGTGGTCTGTGCACAGTGACAGTAGACGGTCTCCGTTATCTGTCCTGCGACCAACAAGTCCCCATTGGCCACCTAAACGACTCTCTTCTGTGCCTAGACGCCCGACCTGAGCATTCAAGTCTCCGGCTAGTACTACAATATCTGTCGAATGCACTTTCTGGAGAAGAACAGATAACTGGTGGTAAAACTCATCCTTGATTGCATCCGGGCTGCAATGTGTCGGAGCATAGGCGATGACGAAAAGACATCGTTTCTCACGCCGATTTCTTCTCACTTTGATGGAACATTCTAATCTAACAGCACATAACCGACTGTTAATTAGTGCTGCCTCAGCTCTAGCGCTCAGTGCGACACCAACGCCAGCAAGACCAGACGAAGATGCCACAGGGTCCCCGGATAAGCGCACGTAAAACAAGCTTTTCGAAGCGACATATGGAGAGCGAATTTGTAGTACTTCACCAGAGTCTTGAATACGGGTCTCAGATAGACAGCAGACATCGATATGAAGACTTTCCAAAGACATAGCCACCCCTATCTATTGTCCAACCTGCATAAGTGTGCGAAAGTTGAAGGCAGCCAGTTTGAATGGTGCACGTGGTTTCAGGAAAACTGCTTCAGTACTTATATTCGGTTGTAACATACAATTTTCAACCGGACAGTGACTCGGGAACGTTTAGATACAGTCGAATTTCCACCAAAGACGAGCCGCTGTATAAGTATAAAAGAGGGTGAATAATGTGGTAAATAATAATGATAATAATAATAATAGTAATAATAATCATTTGAATCATTTGATTGTTATTCGAATCGAGAAAACTAGTTTCCATAGACATAGAGAGTTCATCATTTGCGTGTGGGCTGCGATACTGCCCGGGTGCCCAGACCGAAGCAGGTGGTTATCTTAGGGGGCCACACCCCGAGCCTTTGACCTAAAGGTCTAACCCACAAGGCAGTGGAGCATCGTAAGGAGATGCAGTCCCATGGTAGCTGGTGACCAACGGTTGGTTCATACGCCATTTGTTCCCGCAGGATACTGGAGCCCATGTGCACCATTGATTTGGTTTGGGATCCAGTTAAAGCGCCGGACATTCGCTTTTCGTCCTCTCATTTTCGTAAACAACACCCCTGCCACGAGAAGATAATGAGTAGGACTTCCCTTGCAGGGGCTGTATACGCGTGGCCGTGTGAGAGTATTTCGAGAGGGAGAGCGGACTCTCCCCACTCTCGGCCGTACCAGGGCATTTGGGAGCATGTTGCTATCAAGGATAACCTTGCACTGGTCTTGATTGTTGAGTGCTCCAGTTGCTTGCATATATCTATTTTGAACCCTATAGCGTATTTACAAAATAAGCGATAGTTAAAGGAAAACCCTGATAAGATGCAACGTGTTACCCATCACTAAACAAAATTCAATCTAAATAAACAGTTAGGAACGATGCAATTAAGTTGCTCGACCATTTTACGTACATCTGGAATTGTACCAACCTTAGTTAATTGTTGATTGAGTGAAATTTCAACTAGTGTTTGATAACCTACGCCACTTCTCGTGTAGTTTCATTATCCGAATGTCTATTATTTGCAGTACTCTTTTTAGGGTATCACTATCTAATTACACCACCGAAATGTAGTTATTTATGGTAGGTCATACCAGGAATTTAGCAAGTATTCTATGACAGCAATTATGGAATTATTTTGCGTGTTCTAAAACTACTGAATAAGCAGTGCTTAGATTATGAATGGAACGGTAGACAGAAAAGGTATTGTTTTATGTCTGTACCATACCATAAAATATACCAGTCTGATACGCTCTTAGGAGCTATGTTTCCCTTTCGTTATTCGTAAAAAAGTAACATGTATTTATTCATGAAAATTATCCCTTTGCAATGGCCGAATTACGAGTTTAAAACTTTTCCGTCTATCAATCAATCGAGTGGCTCAGTGTTGAGTTGTACATGAATATGTACCAGATCATTAATTATTTAATGAATTATAGAACTATTATCCCTTTCTTTTAAGTTACCATCATTATAATCCTGTCAAACAGTAAATGAATGATCAATAAAATGTTATTCATTTGGTATTTGAAATGAAATGGTTCAATTTGTTTGTTAACTTTTGTGGAATTTCGAGATTAATATACACGTTCGTGTTATAACTTCGTGAACTTTTTGATTAGAAAAGTTATTGAAAAATAGTTACAGGAGTAGGTAGATTTATGCGTGTGTGTGTGTGTGTCTGTGCTGCACATTATAAAAACATGGAGAAATAATTGATATGCATTTGACAGTATTATTATTATTGACAGTATTTTGTAGAAGTAATATAACTTAAACAATATAAATGACCAATTACACTGACGAGTATCAATGGGAACAGTTTGTATGTAAATAAATAAATATCTTTAAGCGAATTACGCAACTATAGGCTTTTCAAAAAATATAAAGTTATTAAAATATGAACTTCATGGAAAGTTCCATAAATTCAACGGATATATAAGAAGATTCTATTCAGTGATTTAATCAATTGTCCAGGTTGCTTACCGATGTAGGACGGAGCCAGAAAAAAAAAATCAAAAATGACTAAACCAAAACATGAAACTTAATGCATGTTATCCACACTGACTCTTGGTTGGACTTGCTAAGGGAAGTTTAAAAAACATTGGACTCCGTACTAAATTAATCGTTCCCATATTAACACTAGCTTTGTGTGTATGAGTGATACCAAAGTTAGGTTATAATGCACTAGGTTAAGATGGTGAATCAGTTGTGGATCCTCATTAACTGAAGTGATTGTCAAATTTGTTACATATACCCAACCACCTCGTACTTCAACAGGCGATGTTATCCGATGTAGGAGTAGGTTGGAAGAAAGGTAGGGGCGGCTAGACTAGGATATGGCGCTAGTATTTGAAACCATTAACAGTTTGATCTGGCTATGTTAATAGGTGTATGCTGTATGTTTAGAATCCGTATGGTTATCTTAATCAATGGTTGGAGAATTTGAATGACATGGCTCAGAACCATTCGCACTGCAGAAGGTCAATTCACTATTTATATTCCTTTGAAATCTGAGTCCTGAATTTCTCTTATTCCTTTTTCGATAACTAATCTTTTCTACTACTACTGATACTGCTACTACTTCTAATACTCTTGGATTTCTCGGGATAATTTTCTCTCTGTGTTAATGTGGTACGGCAACTTGAATCGATCCACATGATTCGGGTTCTACGTTGCATATGACTGAATGAGCCTTCTTTGTTACATCTTAAACACTGAAAATAATCAAGAGTTGAAGCGATTAGACACTGAAATAGAATACAGGATATTCATCTTGCTTCGATATGAACAGTTACGACACATTTTTTGTAAATATTTAAGTGAACACTGGAAAACGGTACGTAACCTTCAAATTATCAAAGTAGCTATCCTAATATATACAATTGAAATAGAATAGATGTAATGTGGTTAGCAGTGAGATCCAACACACGCGTTTCTCCCTATTTGGGACTCGTCAGCTGGATGTACTTGGGTTCTACAGTTGGTTTCACTCTGGGATTCGAACCCAGTACTGTTCCCCTCAAACGTTCACATACCAACCAAGGTCGATCAAATTTCAGTGAAGAATATCAACAATGGGATAATCCAAGCCATTGCAAATAGAATCAAATCTAAAATTAATGTTGTGAAGGTCATTCAAAGAAAACTAGTTACTTGTGGTAACATCACAATGATTCGTATTGTTTAGTGTAAAGGTAACTTTATAAACAGTAATCAGGCAAGTTTTCGTTCAACAGTTCTTTCTATAATACCGCTAATTGTGTAACTTTTGGAATGAATTCAAGGAAATTTTTAACCAAATAAACCGTCGTCAATTATCTATATTTCCTTCAATAAAAACGTTCTTCTTTTTCTTCACTTCCAACACAGAATACATGTTCTTCTCGTCTTCTCCCCATTCTCATTTCTTCATTATCATCCAAGTCTAATGTTACCAGAAAGTGAGTTTATTGTTTTTAATTCCGTGTAACAACAACTAATCAATAACTATTTTCGTTGCACATACGAAATTCTTCTTTCTATATTATTACCGAGATTATGTAGACTTTATCTGTTAGTTATTAGAACTAGTAGTGATGTGAATAGTCTCAGTCATCATCAACATCGAGCTTGGCAGATATGCTCACTGTCTCAGTTTATCATATCACGTTAAGACAATCAAATGAATATATGAAGAGAAACAGCGAAAGAGATCAAAACAATGTAAAAGAAATGTCAATAAGAAAAAACTGTTTAGTGTGGATATGGTTTGAGAAGCCGTAATGAGAAGGTATATGTAAAGGAATACTGGAATTTAATATTGAAAGATAAATTGTAAATGCATCTATGCCATTTCGACTAATTTTAACTCACATTGATCATAGTTGGTCCACAACTGACCGTGGTTACCACGTTGACACCAATCAGGTTATCTACATCCACAGACTGATCCAATGTGTAAATATATTTTGCAACTAATTTTTATACGCTTAACGATAAATTAATCATACTCGGTATATTCATCGGTATTTAATATGTATTCGTTGTTGCTGTCAAGTAAATCACTATTAAAGATGGTCAATTAGTGGTGATTTCTAGTTCTAGTTGAGATTTCAGGTCAATATCAGTTATACTAAAGGATAATTAGTATTAGATCTTTATAATCAACTTATTTTCAACTTACCTATCTCCGCTAAGGTCACTTAAATAATAACAGTTCTTGATTTAATGAATTGCATTGAGCATTTGCCTCACTCGGGCCAATAACTGTTAACATTCTCGTTTCTATTTCATTTTCGAATAGTTCTGATGATAAATAACACTACAGTCTGATATTATAAAAGCTTAAACGGATGTAAAACCAATAAAAATGTCTAAAACAACACATTTACTGAATAAATATTTATGTACTCGGCTTTGAATCTCTACCTTTTGGATGTGAGGGCTAATGATACTACTGTCCGATTGCTCAAACCAAGGTAACAGATGGAGCGGAGTTGAAACCTTACGACCTACCATTTTAAAGTAGAAATCTGTGTACTAAGTCATTTCTATAGTCCTATGCTGTTGTCGTTATCAAAAAAATGTCTAGCAGTTAATTCTAAGATGCACATTTTATACTATTTGGGATTAGTATGCTGGATAATGTACTTGCAGTTTTATATTGGTGTTTTTTTCAAGAAAATCCAAAAGTCAGTACCTACCGCTTGACATACCAGAAGGTTATGCTCCAAACTATTGAGTTACAATAACATCGTGTATGTATCTACAGTCTTACTGTAAACATCATTACTGGGGTATAAGTACATTCGACTGATGAGTACCAAATAATTCGAAAAGCGCACCATAGATTCTATTTTTCTCCCCTATTCACTATGTAAATCAACTCTAAACCGGGACAGTATTAATGCACTTGTTCAAGGAGCTCCCATATAGTAAATATAGTCGAAAAGATCCAAACCTTCACATTGTCTATAGTTACTCTAATGGTAATCAGATCTGTTCGGTGTTCGAATATTGTTTTGTACCTCCATTGGATATATTCGTAAACGAACATTTAGTTTCATTTGTTTTTATAGATGCATTTGTGAATTCTTAGAAATCATTTTCCGAACCTGGCCATTAAATATTCTTGAAAAAAATCTCTCTGTATTGCAAGATGCACTAAGGCGAGGTATTTCAGATGCAGATCAGGAAGCTCGATTATTTACTAGACGGTAAGTTAAATGAAAAAAAACAGGTTTTGTACTTTGAAACTTTGTTGCATTCATTCTTTTTCAATATGCTCCTGTCTTTCACAGTTGATTTTGTAAGTTGACTGAACTTGTTCATAGTGGACATATTTATGCAATAAACTTAATGCATCGAGTTAGGCAGTATATAATCAGTCACTAGGTTCCAAAGTGGAATGTTATTGAAACGCTATCACTTTCTGAGGAAAAAAAACTTAGATTCGAATAGAACCTAAAGGTGATTTAAAAGTAGCGACTACACGTACGTAACGGCAGTAATATGGTTGTACTCGAATGATCAATGCTTCCTTTCGTGAATTAATGGTTTTAGCTGCTAGATATTAAGTTCTTAGAACGAGCGGGGTTAAAATTATAATAACTAATACGTTGGTCCTTCTCGACTTCCTGGCTGGGGTCCGAGAGATGGTGCAACACAGTGGCTATAGACGTTGTCAGATATGGCTAAGAATAGAAGCCAGTGGCGATCTTGCTGTAACCCTCTTTTACTTTCTTCATAAAAAGTGGTTGTAACTTTCTTAACTGAAAGAATTTTTTCTGGTTGTATTCTTCCCGTTTCCCCGATTATTATTATTTCACTGCCATACACTAATCTGTGGTCGTTATTGTTCTCTCTTTTTTCTCTTATACGCACCTTACATTCTATTTCTCTTCTTATTCTCATTGTTTTGTGTGGCGCATATGTATCTGGTGCCCCCTTATATCAATATTTATGTGTTCAAATAAAATAAAAATAACTAATACGTAAGAACTGTGGTGTAACCAATTTTACGTAGATTCCCCTTGAGCTCTATGGTTACACTAACCATGTCTTTCAATTATTTCAAAAGATTATTGCCTTACTTCGTTTCCAACAACTGAGAGGCATCGTTAACACACACACACACACACACACTTCTAACAACCCATAAACTGGTGACCTGAACGGTATCACTAGTTCGTACACATTCAGTGCACATTATCACCATAACCCTAAAGTAACTTTTCGTTTTAGATTCCGACGTCATCAAATCAATACCTTAACCATTTTTATGGCTAAGATACTTGCGAATGATGACTAGTGTTATCAGATTTACCAATCTGTTTGAAAGCAGATAGTTTAGTACTGTGATAACTTGGTTAATGATTGCATAATCAATGAGGTTACAAATAACGCTTTTACTAAACAATGATCATCGATGCATACAAAAGTGTGGTCACTAGGTTTCTTTTAGATACCTTAAAATTATATGCACTTTGTTGCCGTATCACTCGCTTTTCTTAGTATTTGTCCCTACTGTTATTATTTATTATTATTTATTTATTTAAATACATAAACATTGGTACAAGGAGGCACCAAATAGATATGCGCCACATAAATCATTCGATTTGTGTGAGGGCTGTGATACTGCCCGGGTGCCCAGACCGAATCGAAACGTGAAAAACTGTCGAGTTGTTTATTTGTTTAAGGAATATTGCTTGCATCATTGTGTTTCATGTATAAAACGACACATTATCAATAATAATTCATTATCAACCGGATATCTTATGATTTCTTTATTGGCTGTTTTTATAAGTTGACTAACACTTCAGTTTTTATGTTATTACTATACTTCTCGTTTTTCCGTTTACCTTTAAATTAGTTCATTCCCATTATTTGTTGCTAAATTTCCTGAGCAAGCGAATTTATTTTTACAAAATCTTGATCCTCAAAAACGTAAACTAATTGAAAAAGATTTGATCGCTGCAGGATTATCAGAAGGGTTTGGTGCCGGTGATACTGCGACAACTGGATCATCTCGGAGTCAACCTGGTAGTCAGTCAAATTTAACTTACCAAAGTACCAGACGACCAACTCGACCTGTATTAGGCACCAGCTCATTAGCCAATAATACAAATCGCAGTCGTCCACCATTAACTAGTCAGAATGAGTATAATACCGGTAAGGTTACTTATCAGTTGCTGTTTTTTTATAAAAAATTCATATAATCTTATTTAAATTACTTTAATAGTTGCTAATTTCTCATGCACATTCTCTGTGTACACTTAATAAAAATCTAGAGTGAGTTCCAAGTACTCACCGGAAATGTCCATAGGGGGCAAAAACGCTTGGAAACACTATCCAATCAGCGTTAAATAGAGGCTTCTCAGAAAAATCTAGAAGACTAAGTCATACCACGTTTCTGGTTGGATATTTACCTATTCTGCAACTATATTTAATACGGTCCCAGAAACTCATAGTAGCTTAAGATCGTGTGTAACTCCATAAAACTCTCATTTCTCTGCACACAAAATAACTTCAGAGTAAAGTGTTTTTTTCACACTTCGCACTTTTTCTTTTGTGTTGAAGTTGCCGTGTGAATTTAGCCTAGGATTACTAGAAGCGGCTAGCAAATCGAATCGAACGCTCATTTAGTCAACTCACCAGAATCAAATTGCACAAAGAAAACTGGTAATTGCACCTGATTATTCCGAGTACTTGAAATGCAAAGTTCGTGCAACCAGATAATATCATTAGCTTGTACACAATGATTGGACTTATATTATCAGTTAGGTAGTGTTTCAACATTGTTTGCCGAAGTATCTACACGCACTTTAATACCTCATCCTCACTTTAGTTACTAGCGCTTTTTATCTGATATAGTAGAAGTGAAACATTGTGTGATTGTTTCCTCGTCTATTAGTGAGCTCCTTATCGTGAGCTTTAATTGTCAATAAGTAAAACTTCCTTGAATTCCACATGTCAGAGGGAGAAACAATAAAGATCGTTGTGTAATCTGTCACAATATTGCATTGGTTAAAATTCAACATTTCACAAAGAGTTGTGTGAGGAAGATGATAGTCATAATAAGAGTACGAATAATCGTATATAAATGAACAATGGTTAAATAATGCGAATAAAAAGTGCATCATGACGTAATGTCTAGAGCGATCGAGGGCGATCTGTGAACATGAATTATTTACCTGTCACCACTCATTATAATCAACGCCTATTTTTAATCACTGCTCATTTAAGAATAACAACCTTCACAGCTTTTCGTTAGTGCTAATACAAAGAATGTTTTTGGAATAAATGTATTTTTATTCATGTCTTTCAGTGTATTTTCTTCCATAGCCACCTACTTTAGACTCGTTCTTAAAAAATACACCTTCGGTTTCGTAATATTTCAAATTACCATACGATGATTGTCACAACATAATTTTTCTGTACATTTATTCTCAGTTGGTCGTTCTTTCCGTCAAGGATCAATTGCTTCAAATTACGACGGTCGTCCACGTCAAATTGGGAGAAAACTTGTGTCACAGTCACAGCGTAAGTTTTGATTCAATTATTACACTTTCACTATGATAAAACAATTACTCACCTTAATTCTTTTATTTATACTAAATAATTAGTGTAGTTGACTAGCATCAACTTCAAGACCTTGTTTAAAACGGTAAATAATTGTATTTAATTGCTGTTTAAAACATGACAGAAGATAAAGATCTCACTAAAACACAGCTGTCATGAAACCTCCTTTATCCTTGTTCTGCTCACTATACTTTATATGATTGTTGAATTCTAACCTTTTTAATAAAGATTAATTTTCCCTAATTCTTCTCGATGTGTAAAATGTGATTTAAATTCATATCGGTAAGAAGCTTATTTTTTCAACAGCTCTTACGATTAGAAATCATAACTGTTGTACAAGTTAGTGAAAATGTGAACTAATTAACTTAGTGGATAACGCGTTTGCTTTTGATACATTATGTATGAAGTTCGAGGCTCAATGAAAGCAGCAACACTGGAAAACACGTACATTCACCTAATGTGTCATAAGTAGGACGTAGTGTGTCCTGAATTTCACTGCTTATCACAATCCATCTGTCGTAAGACATGTTAAAGATGACTGTGTTGAGATAATATGTTCAGAGGATACATATATACTAACAAAGACTAATCAAAATTCAGTCCTGAATATCAACAATGGGATAATATAAAGTCTTACAAATAACCTATTACTCGTACTGAATCCCTTCGTAACTTGAATAACTCCACCTTCTTCAGACATTGTTGTATTTATGCACATGTCAAAATAAACAGCTAATTACTTGTCATATATGTATGTACATTTGTGTAAAAGTGCTTAACAAGTAATCACATACCTTTTTGTACAAATATGATGAAATTTTGTTATTTGATATTAATACACTATTGAACCATTGAAATATATTGGTCATATTGAATGATATTTGTAAACATTAATATAACATTAAGTGGTAGTAGCAGTTATCTCCAAAAAACTGCCTAATTACTATCCTAAAATGAATGTTAAATCTCACTGTCGAATCGTTCTCCACCAAATTCGGTTTGAACACTCATGCTTTAGTAGTTTTCATTTTAGCGCTGATATAAAGTGTAGCTCAAAACTGAATACATTTATTTTTGTATTTCTAATGAAATGCACTTTACCGAACTACTGTGTTGCACTGATTTCGGTTCAATTCAGTCAAATAAACTCCCAGTTAGGTTTTAACTCTAAAATGTTATAAATGTATTTTAATTTTGATTGTGTCAATATATATTTAAGTTAGAAGAAATGGAACTTGAAGAACTATTCTCAGATGAATTATTATGTTTATTTTTGTCGCGTGCCCCCAGATGCCCTGGTACGGCTGAGAGTGATGAGAGAGCACTCTCCCTCTCGAAATGCCCTCACATGATCACACGTATGCAGCTACTGTCAGGGAAATCCTACTCACTGCCTTCTCACGTTGTGGGTGTTGTTTACGAAATTGAGAGGACGAAAAGCGAATGTCCACCACTTAAACCGGGTTGGTGGACATGGAGATTCCACCTAGATGAGTTGGAAAACCTTCATTCCAAACCAATGGTGCACATGGGCTCCAGTATCCTGAAAGAACAAATGGTGCATGAACCTAGTGTTGGTCACGAGCTACCGTGGGACTGCATCTCCTGACGTCGCTCCACTGCCTTGCGGATCAGACCTTTAGGTCGAAGGCTCAGGGTGTGGCCCTCTAAGAAAACCACCTGTTTCGGTTTGGGCACCCGGGCAGTATCCCAGCCGTCACACAAACCGAATGATTTATGTGGCGCATATGTGTTTGGTGCCTCCTTGTAACAATATCTGTGTTCAAATAATAGATAATAAATAGTTGATTAAATGGTTAAACAGCGATATGTTACTTGATACAGGGGTGGTGTGATTTTTTTAAATAATAGCAAACTTCTCTACATAGATAGCAAAAAAATAACTCAGATCTGATAAATATATCTGCCCGTAAAATAGTATTGAGTGATAATATATGATTGATTTTACTGTATTTTATTTAGGAAAAAAATGTTTTCGTTAAATGTTATTTATTTATGGTTGAAAAGACCAGTTATAAATTTTTATCCCATCCTGAATCTCAGCGTATTTGTGCACAAATTTTTACTTTTTGTCTTTTCTTTTAATGAAATAACTTTTTTTTTAAATTTTTTTTATCTATACTTGCATATTTATATATAAATCGTTCTAGCTACAAGTCGTGAAGTTTCACCATCACGTCTAGCCTATTTCACTGCCTATGGTACTACTGCATCTAATAATAATGATGGACAAAAATTACAATTCAATACAACTAATACTAATCGTAATGGTACAATAGGATTTGTAGATAATAATAATAATACTACAGATCGTACTACACGTTTAATAATGAATTCACGTGTTCCACGTAGTCAAGGCGCTAGTCGAGAAACATCACCGACAAGATCTACTGCAAGCGGTTATACTATGCCTTCATATCAGCATAATAATAATTTTCAATTAACTGGTACAAATCAAATTGGACAGATGAATTATCGGAGACAACAACAGCAAAGACGTTAGTTTAATTGATATCTATTTATCATTTATACATCGTTATTTAACTTGTGAGCATTTATTTTACGTTGATTAGAATCACAATTTGTAAGCTGATCAAACACTATTTTGAGCAACCGAATTAGTGTTTATTCGTTTTTACATACTCAAAAACTGTAGCTTCATTGTTGAGTAATACAATCTAACTTATTCATTATGTTCATATTTATGTACGCGAATTTGGGACATATTGGCTATGTGAATTTCTAGTAATACTAGTGGGGTTCGAATTCATGATCTGTCGATTGAAAACTAACTATTCTTATCTCTGTGTCATTTTATTTTTAGTATTTGTATTATGGTTCAACTGACATTCTTGTTAAAATCGGTTTTTGACTATAACAAAAAATTCCCTTTATTTGAAAGCAAGTAGATGATGATGCATGAACTATTTTTTCGCATAGTACAGAATTTTTATATATTGCTTAATGTGTACTCATCCCAAAACATTTTTGATCTCAATTCTCTCAAGTTTCTAAACCGAATTGTTCCTTAACCTGTTAACATTAAGAATAAAATCCGGATGTTTTAGAAATAAAAATACACAAGTCTGTCTTGCTGGTTAGTTAGTAACGTTTTTAATGGGTCTCGATTGATTGTACGGTGTACGCCTTACATCTCACCTGGTAGTTCTCTAGTTTCTTGTTCGGAACTTTGGTACCTTTCTTTCCATTATTTCTAAGTTCGTAAATCATTTTAGGTGGTTGAAAGTAATCGGAAGAAAACCTTGCTTGATGTAGGTTTCGTACTAAGTGCTGCTTGTTACTAAAACATACCTAATACTGTCGTGTTACCCAACTTCACAATCTAAGAAATCAAAACTAAGCTATTCATGATGAAACTTACCTCCTAGATGAATGAGATATATAACTTGGGCAAACTCTGTTTTCCATTTTCTTTTGTACCTAAACATGTTTAACGACGAAGTTCATCATCAATAGGAGAACTACTAAAACTCAGTTGGCAAGCATTAAACACAGGTTTTTGTTGGTAAATTTCCCATTTTTGTAATTTCGTGATGGAAATTTGAATTTCTCATTTTCGCTCCAAAAGCACCCATTTTTACCTTCAGTTTGTGTTTCCCACCAGGAAGGATCTTAAACATTTTTGGTTCATCTTCTCTTTTAATACGCTATTATGTGACGCTTTTCAAAGACATTTTTTTATTGTATATATACGCATGAGTTGTGTGCTTGTTCGTTCGTTCTTCTGGGCTGCTTGTGGAATTACATATTTTCCCTGCTGAATTTGGTCTTCTCTCTCTAGTTAGCAGGGATGTCGCGCAGTGGAATGGGTTAGTTTGTCCTATTGTTGTGTTGCTGACTTTCGTTCCGTTTGCCGATCCTAGGTGATATCTCAATCCCTCGAGCATACCCGTTTTACTTCTAGTCTGGAATCCCTTCATCAAATACTTCCCATCATCTCTAAGAATTATCCACTGTCTTGACGACGCTACCGCAATAATTTCTTCACCTTCCCATTATGTTTAGTAATCATGTATCAAATACCCGATAACCATTTTTAAAAAAACAGTGTCATATTATTCGATTTCCTTTCTTTCATTGCTTAATAAAGTCTTATGTAGTAGTAGGTTAGAAAGAAGCTAGGGATGGTCAGACCGAAATGTGGCATCAATTCATAAAGTCATATACGAGTGAATGAACCGTGTAAGTAGGTTGATGATCACTACCACACGGTTGGTGTCCTCATGATGATGATGATGATGATATAGCTCAGAATCATCCATCATGAGGCAGATGCATTCAGTCTTTTTTTTATCTGAAATCCAAAGTTTATAAATTATCTTAATCATGATCTTTAGATTCCATGCACCACCCTCTATATTTTCTCACTAAATCATATTGTCTTATGCTTAGTCTTTTCTATTACCACTAATAAACACAGTTACTAATTCTACTACTCTGACATTATCGGCTTTGATAACTTCATCTGATTGTGCTAATATTATGACGTGGTAACTTGAATCTGATCTATATATGTGTCAGGTTCTATATTGTATATAACTGGCTGAAATATAATTCACATTGTCATTTACAATTGTTCATTATTTATTTTGTACTTTCGATGTTAATATGATGTTCATTATTCATAGCTTTTCTTTTTTTAGAAAAAAAAACATTACAAAATAAGAAAGCGAAGTGTGTAATGTGTACCTTAATACAGAAATGTCATACTTTATATTACTATTTGTGTATATAACTCAATAGTAGTTTTCAATATGGTTGATGAGGTGAAAATCTTATGTGTTGAAAAGAATAAAGCGCTTTTTATACGTCTTTGTGTAATCAATTATTCTGTCATTGTTATTTATTTATTTATTATTATTATTACAAATTCTGTATACGTTGCCAAGAATGAGGTTGAGTTTTTTTGAACAGCTTAATTACTGTTAGGTTATTTACCAGTCAGTCAGTCATCCCAATAACAAGATGCATATTGATTGGTAATTTTGTATGTCTGTTCAATTTTACACACGACAATTGGTGACTAAATTTGAAATAATTTAGGTGATTTCTCAACTGATTTACTGGGGTGTAGGAATATTCAATGACAAGGTCTTTTGTTTTAAATTCTACTTATGCGATGACAATCATGATTTGATTAATTTGCCAAATACAAGTTCATATAGTCGCCTTTACTCCCATAAAATTAAATAAGATTTACCGGGTTTCAAAATTGCAATCTGTTCATTGAAAGCCGAATGATTTAATCAACTAAACCTGTGTTCTTTTTAATGTTTGTGTTCATTCAGTGGCAATCTATCGCTCCTGTATACGATAAATTAGTCAACCAACTAAGTTCCGTTGTTAGATAACGTAATAGAATAAAACTAGACTCTCAGGTATGCCGTTTTACTTGTATTGTCGAATACAAACGTTGGAGTGTCTTCATTGATTAATGTGACAACCATCGTGTCAGGACATTCTAAAGTTGTTGTTTTTGTATCTAACATTTGTTCTTTCCTTATATGACAACCGTTTGTAAGACATGTGTTCTCTTTCCAATGCACACATGTTCTCATCATTTCATTCAATGCATACTCGTTTTCAGTTCTTAAAGCTACAACATACTTACCAATATACGATATTTGATTAAACATGTCTTTTAATATAAAATAACTCATTCTAATATTTTTTTTCTCTTTTTTTGGGGGTTGGGGGTATTTTCTTCAGCATCTCTTGGTACTTTAAGTGATTGCGCTGACCTCGGCGATGGAGTAAGCTATTATTATTATTATTGTTATTATTATTATTATTATTATTATTATTATTATTATTATTATTATTATTATTACTATTATTATTATTATTATTACTATTATTATTATTATTATTATTATTATTATTATTATTATTATTATTATTATTATTATTATTATTATTATTATTATTATTATTATTATTATTATTATTATTATTATTATTATTATATTATTTATTATTATTATTATTATATTAGTATTATTATTATTATTATTATTATTATTATTATTATTATTATTATTATTATTATTATTATTATTATTATTATTATTATTATTATTATTATTATTATTATTATATATTATTATTATTATTATTATTATTATTATTATTATTATTATTATTATTATTATTATTATTATTATATTATTATTATTATTATTATTATTATTATTATTATTATTATTATTATTATTATTATTATTATTATTATTATTATTATTATTATTATTATTATTAGTATTATTATTATTATTATTATTATTATTATTATTATATTATTATTATTATTATTATTATTATTATTATTATTATTATATTATTATTATTATTATTATTATTATTATTATTATTATTATTATTATTATTATTATTATTATTATTATTATTATTATTATTATTATTATTATTATTATTATTATTATTATTATTATTATTATATTATTATTATTATTATTATTATTATTATTATTATTATTATTATTATTATTATTATTATTATTATTATTATTATTATTATTATTATTATTATTATTATTATTATTATTATTATTATTATTATTATTATTATTATTATTATTATTATTATTATTATTATTATTATTATTATTAATTATTATTATTATTATTATTATTATTATTATTATTATTATTATTATTATTATTATTATTATTATTATTATTATTATTATTATTATTATTATTATTATTATTATTATTATTATTATTATTATTATTATTATTATTATTATTATTATTATTATTATTATTATTATTATTATTATTATTATTATTATTATTATTATTATTATTATTATTATTATTATTATTATTATTATTATTATTATTATTATTATTATTGTTATTATTATTATTATTACGATTGATGATAATTTATTCATTTTGAGTTCAATAAAATGTACATTAACTGATTAATGGATATCATTTATGTTGAAATGTTTCTGTCTTGTATTGATTAAGGCGTGCACTTTTTGTCTGCATGCATTACTATTCGTCAATCATGCATCCTTGTATGTAATGAGTACAGAGATATTATTATTATCACTGATTAGTAGCTTAATTCTACTCTTTTTTTCACATTAGTCGTCCACTGCTAACAATGATTGGATAATTCATTATTATTTCTCAATATATTAATGTGATTTTCGGTTTAAAAAACTTCATGTTCACATTTCTTCAATCATTTCATGGTAGCTAATAACCATATGATACCAAATCTTTGGGTTATTTGCTATACGTTTTGATATATATAACTAGCATCTACTCATTCGAGCAAAAATGAGATATAATGTCTCTACAATTGAGGTTGTTGACTATTGATCAGTAGATACTGATTTGACGTATAGAATCGAGTCATGAAATCACATTAATGATGTGAATTTCTTAATCAAATAAAAATTAGTAAGATAGAATAGAAACTAGTAAAAAAATCACTTAATTTCTTTTATTAAACTTAACGTATTTCCTTATATATGATACATCCCACTACTGGCTAATTAGTCTTGATCTGAAAATGTATTAAGAGAAACCAACAGTGTTCGGTTTAGGCATTGACTGTAAGGTAAAAATGAGCATATTTTTGAGAAGTAATGGACCACCAAGACAAAATTGCTATTTTTCATGTTAAAAATGAAGAGCATTTAAGAGTGGTGTTTGCCTCGGAGTAAATTCAATGTTAAAGTCGTTTTTATAAATGTAAATGTACCCAAAAAACACATGTTTTATGTTGTAAGCAAATCCAACTCATTCAGTGTATTGGATTTTCTAAAAAAACATGTATTTTCACAAGTAAAATACATCCCGTTATTATCAGTATTAGTTTAGTCTACAGTGTTCCTTTGAATTTGATTTTGTTGAAATCTGAACTTCGATTATATGATAGAACATTAGTGGAACGTTGTTCATTTCTCTCTTTACTTTTATTTGCAAGGTGTATAAATATTCCGCAGTTTGTTTTAAATAATTCAGGTTTGTTATATTACAACTTACTATTTTTCTTGATAAAACAAATCATTCTCTCGTGGATACTTAGTTCAAGATAACTGACATATGTATGCAGGAAGATTCTTTAAATAAGTTTCGTCGATTAATTGATTGATACCAAGAATTATCTTTGTTACCCTCTTTCCTAATTTGAACATATTTTATAGATTTATGCTAAAGTATTTTCTTTTCGCATTTTCAAGAGAGATTGTTCTGTAATATGGTATACATTTTCATTTGAAAAATGAAAAAGGTCTAATTGAATCCAATCATCACGTGTAGTGATGGTTCTAGTTGTTGGACATTGATTTTCGAATTGCTTTCCAGCTGTGTAGCAAAGGTGAATAGAATATCAACATTGTTTTACTAAATATTAGTTTTCTTTTTTGCTTACCAGACTATTAGCTACCTTACCAGTGAAAGTTTGTTTACGCATTGCTTCTGTTGTTATATTATCTTCCTTAGCCTTTATATGGTCGACATTACTCAACTGGAAACAGTCGTGGTCCATATGGCTCAGATGATAACTTCAGTGAAACATCATCACAGTGTTCTGAACGTTCAGGTCGTTCAGTACCCGGGTACAGGCGCCAGTCCTCAAGTAAAGTGACTAGTGTAAGTTTATTTTTCACAAAGATAAGATCACTATTAATATTTTATTTTTTTACTTAATAGTTCTGTGTGTTTGTGTACTTACGAACTGGTCGCTTCACTGTTGCAGAAAGTTATTTTCTTTGAGTAGTCTAATAAAGAACGATGATTATAAGTTGTCTGTTCATTATACTACTGACTTCTTATTTATGGGACCTGATTTAGATTTCGCCATAATGTATGCACATCCTTGAATCGCTTATGACTTGAGTAAGATCTCCGGCTAACAAACGATTAGTCAATGCATTTCTCGGTATTCCGCTCTATATTATTTGATGTCTGTGAAATATGGCATATGAAAGTAGAAGACATACGTAGTCTACAGTTTTTTTACCATAGGTGTCTTGAAAACAAATTACTCGCATCTTTTGGAGCAACCGAGTGAGCAACGTTGAAGTTAGGCATGTGGTACTAAGAAAAGATGACTAGTTTGTTGGTGAGGTTTTTAATCTTCATTGACTAGGGTAGTTAGAACCATGCTACTTATGTCCAACCACTGCCCCTACCTATGTGGTATAGGCTTAGGTAGAAAGCCGAACCAAGACATAGCATCACTCCGGGAAGTTATCAACTGTTTATCTCAGTCGTGTTAGTAAGTATAGACCACTTTGTTGAATTTCATACGATAACCACAATCAGTGGTTAGGGACTTTAAATGATATGGCTCAAAATGGCAAAAGTGCACTCACTTTTTATCTGTACCTCGATATTAAATTCCAACATTCCTTCATATATAACTTCCCAATCTGCTTTTTTGTACGAACTTCTCAATGTTCAGTCATCCTTAATAACGTTTCTTCTATATTATTTCTATCTCTCGTCATCCATCTTGTCGTGCAAATGTGGTGTGGTAACTTGGAATGCTTCATTTCTTTCCATACTCTACATTGATTATAACTGACTGATACTTCTAATAACGTATTTACAGAATGACAATGTGCGTTTACTCAACGTTTAGCCACACTTGTGCATATGACGGCTGGTGTATGTTATTCAGTTAATCAAATCGAAGTAGGCGACGTGGGATTATTTACTATTTATTTAAACACATAAACATTGGTACAAGAATGCATTAAATATATATGCGCCATACAAATCATTCGATTTCTGTGAGGGCTGGAATACTGCCCAGGCGCCCAAACCAAGTTCTAATTTACAACCTAGTTATCTTGGCAAAGTATAAATTGGAAACTCTAAAGCATTTAAATTACATAGCTTAAAATAATAAAATCAGTAAAACAGATTTATTCTCACTCCGTTGTTTTTCTAAATATCCATCATTTTCAATCTTTTCAATAATTTCATTCTAGTTTAATTCAACCTTTTGTTCATCTTATTGGATTATTTTTCTGGTAATTTAATTTCAGTCCATTCGACTGTCAAACGTTTTTCCGCATCACTTTGTTCCTACTGTCCAATCTAGACTCCATATCTAAATCCGTCTGTCTATCTGTTTATATATATATATATATATATATATATATATAATGAGAAAAGTTAGTCAGTAATCCTAGTGTTGTTGTCACCATCAAGTTAAATCAAATAGCCTGAATAAATATTATTTTATTATCGGTACCATAAATTGTACAATCTGGGTCCGTTCGTCTCTGTTTTGGGTTGTAAAAATCTCTTTAAAGCCTCTTAAAATGTTTGAAATCTTCCTCCTTCTATGCATGTTTGTGTGTGCTTATTTATGTTCCGTGCTTGTTGATTTTGTACTTATATTTCTCTCTCTCTTCAGTTACTTTATGAATTTATTTTTTTTCTGATCTATAATCTTTACCATAACTTGTATTTAAATGAATATTGATATTTATTCGGAGGAAATTTAACATTTATAAGTCTTTTAATTCTAATTAGAATGTGTTGACTCCGTTTAGCGTTACACTTGTAAATCTAGTGTCTTAACGAATAAAGCTTACTGACTTCAGCCAACCACTAACCACAGATGTGGAACCTTCTTTTATTTACTTTTGTTTTCTGCATCTAACTAAGTACCATTAGACATCCTGCAATGTAGCTCAAAGGTGAATCTCACATATTCGCACCTAAATCATGCATTCCGTTGTTAAACCGGTCCCAGTCATCGTGTACACAGTAGTCCTAAGTGTTGTTCAAGGTGTGTAGTCAGTTACTAATTCGCGTTTATCTATACGGTGGTAAGCTACTTTCTGAGGTACATGAAATGGAAACTGGAAGTGTTGCAGAAGAGTGAAAGAGACAAATGCTTGAATCCTGTCACACACGGCCTTTTGACGAGTAGTTCTTGATGTGTTAGCTACATGTTTTAAAAACCTTATCACCGGAAACGGAAATCCTTGTCGTATAGCGAGATGTCCTATTTTTAGTCACGACCGTTTACCCCTTCCTTCCATTTTGAGAAGTCAACATAAGTATAGATATTGGTTGTTTAACGAAAAAATCTTGGCGTTGTAAACTCCTTGTACAGTTAACAGCTCGACTTGGCCCTTGAACATTATACTGCTGCTTTCATCATTACCGTTCTTCAACCGATCTACCTGATATAGTATAACCTGAGGAAATATGTATCCCAAAAATTATTCATACTTCTTAATGCAATTGCATTTGCTTTGTTGTAAGTACATGACTTTCAACTGTGTAATTATGAATATTTGTTTACAAATGTTCAGTTCATATGATTATAGATAATAGAATGATGTAAATAGTTGTGTAGATCAAATCACTGTTTTTTCTCTCACTATGAAAAAGTAAACTTGCCTCGATATAACCGACACTTTATATATATATATATATATATATATATATATATATATATATATATATATATATATATATATAATTCTCGTAAGCTTATTATGACTGGTATGACTAGCATAATTCTTCTAATATTTAATAGAATTTAAAAGAAATCATTTCTCAACTTCAAGCTGTTCAATGGTCTGACAGAAAAGACGGCTTAACAAATTTACAGAATTATATGCGTTCCGGTTATCCGTTAAAGTGAGCTTAACAATATTATTTAATTCTTTTGTAATACCTCTTGCTTCGTTGATTAAAATAAAAATTAAACTACACTCCAATATATTAAATCACTTCCTTATCTGATTGCTAAATTGATAATATTTAGTCAATATCAGAATTCCTCTACTTTCAACCGCTGCTCAGTACATAATGATTAGTTTGTTAGGCTTTTACACTTTTTAATAAGAATCTTATGAACCATCAATGGATATTAGGTAAGTTTCTTCCATTATTACAAGGTTTGTCATAAGTGATAACATACATCTTGGCACATATTTACTTCAATTCAAGTGGCCACACTAACAGCACAACGAGATGAGATTATCATGAAAAATGTCAGAGTAGTAAAAACACCAATAGTATTATCAGTGATAGTAGGAGAAGAAAAAATTATTTCGCGGAATAAAAATATTTTAAATTCCAAGAGTCAATTATTCCGCATGGGCAACTGGCGGCCTGCTTGAATGTTTGGACTACCTTTTCCTGCCATCTAGATATTTCGACAAGTTACATGTTTTTTGTTTGTTTTAACACATCATTATGTCTATTAATCTCATAACCTATTCAGACGCCTTTATGAAAAGTTTACGACGTTTCACTGTAATAGTTACAAAATATACAATCAAAGACATCGTGGTGGCTGGTAACATACATTAAAACGAATGAACATTATTTAGATGTCGATTCCTGAACTGCTGACATCTGATTGTCGATTACAATATTTATTGTCAGGATCGATCAAAAAATAAGGAAAAGAAACTTGTTGAAATGCTTTGTGTTGAGAATTTTATATCCTACCAAAAATATAATATTGATGAATAAAACCATCAGTAATGTAAAATAAAGTGTAAATGCATGAGGTTAATTGCGATTGATTTTGAACAATGGCACGCAACGTCTCCAACTGCTGGTTCCAATAATCAAATTTCATTACATCCATATGTAAATCTTGTAAAATCTGGATATCACTCTCAAAGAACTCTATTTATCAGTTTTGTTTAGTCTTTAAAAAAAGAATCAACGAACAATATTTTATAGTAATATTTGAAGCACACTGAAGTTGTCATATAATAATCAATGGAGAATTCGACTAGAAAGTATGCGAATTTGCTGGTTTTTTTTCGAGTAGATATTCGTCTTCAATCTCAATTCGACTCACTAATGTCTAAAAGTTGGAATTGTCGACAAATGTAGACACTCCAGTACTTCGTACAAACATTCTTTGAACCCCTATGACTCTGTGATGAATGTTAGTGACATTCAATTTTGACATACTGAAGGATGTGTTCATTTTATGTTATAAATATCACTAGGTGAAACTTGCTTCTGTGAGTTTATTTCCACTGTCCTGACAACAAACTAATATTTTATACGAACTTAATAGGGATTTTTATATACAAGTAATATATTTGTAATATCCCAATGAGTAGAAGAATTAGATTTTCTGACGTTTCGTGACTTAGTGTAAGCCACTTCTTCAGAGACTAAATAACCAAGTCAAAATTAATCCAAGTTTAAATAGTACAACGGAACAACAAGAATATTACAAATATATTACTTATTCATAACAATCTACCCAATGGTCAGTTTATTCGAAAATATCATGTCAAACCTTGGTAATGATACATACTTAATAGGGATTTGTTTACTTAGCTTTGTGATTCTGTGGTGACTAACTAGTTAAGATGTTCAACATTGAACTACTTAGCCTTAAATTCCAGTCGCAATCCACCTTGTTCAGTTTGAGTTGTCAGATACCTTCTTCCTTGATACTTGTATATTTACAAGTGTGTGGCGTATGCTGCTTATGTTGATAGATATAAGTAGTATACAACACTAATCTGTAGTAGAATGCCTGGCAGCAAAAGAATGAATTGAAGAGAACAGGAAAGTAGACAGTGCAATCGTAATAACAACAAAATTGAAAGAATCATGAAGCATGTAAAGGTCAACTGAAGGTTGATGTGCAAATAATGTATTTAATGTATGGTTCTCATATTTCAAGAAAGTACTTTGTAATTTTGCATTGAACAATAAAATGTTTTTCCCCACCTGAGTTCTCGTTCACTACATATATAAACCACTTCCCAATTTCAATTGTTCCAATGAAAGTTTATAATAAATATCCAGTTGTATTATTAAAACACCACGAGTCAGATTTTAGTAAATAATTGATTTGTCAAATAATTTTTAAAAATTCTATGGCACATTTAACCCGATTTTTTTCCTTGAAAAATTTCCCTTATAGTCCTGAAGATATTCACTGCTTAACTGAAATATTTTCTAAAATGTTTGCGGATTCTCAAAGTAAAGTAAGTCATTTTCTCCCCTATTTTTTCTTTTAGTTTTCATTGATTTTAAAATTATATTACGTATTCGCTTTTTGTGCATGTAACCCAGCGGCTTATTTGTTAAAGCACTTAATCTTCAGTCACTTGATCGTAGGTTCAAGCTGCACTCCATCTGTCTTAGTCTTAGTATTTCGATACACAAGAATGCGTAGGTTGTGTACATAAATTTCAACATGGTAAATGCGTGACATGGTTTTTGTTATTATTAATATCAATGTACTTCTCTATTCTGTTTTTCCTATTTCGTTTCCTTCAAAGGTTGTTAGTTTATTTATGGATACATTACAATTCTTTATTAAAGAATATAATCCATTACTTCGTGATTGGCTTTACACTCTACTAATACGTTTGTTGTATCGTCAAAGTCACGAGGCTTTGAGCAGTCATCAGAAAGCAATACAAGAAACACTTTTTGTTCTCAGGTTAGTGACATTTCATGTATATGAGTTTGCTAGTATTCGTCCCTTACATGTATCACCTAGTGTATTATGAACGGTTGAATAACAGTTTCATCCTAAGTTGAACTGTATTCACTCAGTCGTTAGTTTTGTTTTTGTTGAAAGCATTGCTGCAAAAAATTCAATATATCAATTGAGAGGAAGAATGCGGAAGGTAATCATTTATTTATTTCATTTGGACGCATAAACACTGGTGGACGGGACTATCGAAATACATATGCTTCATACAATAAAAATGAGGTTGTAAAAAGCACATGCCTTACCTACAGACACTAATTGCCAACTGATTAAGTGCGAATTGTATGGTCTGAGTGTCATTATATGGTAAGACGATATCACTCGCATACTCATTATTCATATATATGATTTGTTGTTAAGCAAAGACATTTTGATGAAGAGCAGTTTTTATTTCGACTTTGCCATTAAATAAGGTTGTGTACAGTTGTATTATTTCGATATGTGGAAGTTCTGGAAAATAAAATGTATAACTTTTCTCGTTAATAAGGTTTATAGCCGGTTTATCAATTAGTCAACCGTAATCATTGTATAGCTTGACGAAAAATGTGATTTATCCCCACGTTTATGTACTACAATAACAAAACGTTGAGGTGGAATTACCACGATAAATAACAAAAGTAATCGAATTAATGTTGTAACAATGATAATAAAAAGACTAAACATTGAGATTGTGGTTTAAAAAGTTAGGTTGGTAGGGTATATGTTAAGACTGAAAATCTTGATCTTAAGTGAGATAACAAAAAATAATGAATATAACAACGGCCTCATTGTGACCTATTCTGATCCTTGTTGTCTTCCAACCTATGCTGGGATCACCGGGTAAGTAATAGTGAGGTTAGACGCAGGGTATTAGGGAATGACGGCAAATCAGTTGATGATGTTGTGAATCTCCATCGAATGAGATGGTTGGGCCACGTGTTGCGCCTGCCTGAACACCGATTACCACGACGCACAATACTAAGTAGTGTTGGGGATGGTTGGAAGAAAGTTATGGGCGGCCAAACCAAAACATAGCATCAGTGCTTGAAGTCACTAACTTCTAGTCTGAGCCATGTTGGTAGATGCAGACTACTTGGTTGGGGTCTGCATGACTATCGTAAGTAGTGGTTGGAGACTCTTGGTGACATAGCTCAGAATCGATCACAATGGCGTAGGTGTATACACTTTTTGTCTTCCCTTAAACTATGAGATTAAAATCACTTCATATCTTTTTTTCTACGAACTAATTATTTCTTCCAGAACTATGTCCTTATATCCAATCTTTCTTTTATATATTACCACTACTGAGTTAACCACTTCTATGAATCCCGTGTTGATCTTGTGCTAATGAGGTATGGCAACTTTGACCAATGCACGTATGTGCCTGGTCCTACGTTGTAGCTGATTGACTGACTGACTGATTACATCGGCCCCAACCAGGTAACCTATACTTCTCAACACGAATCATAGCAGCAGTTAATAACTTTATGAAGTAATGCCATGTATAACTATTCTTTCGAAAATTCTAAGTGTTGAATATGAGTAATGTGTAATAGTAGAAGGTCAAGTAGTATCTGTAAAATAAAAAATGTGTTTATGGTCCTATATAATGTAAACTGCACCAAACTCATCATCATGCTAAACAAAATCAAATAACGACTATTTATTTTGAAATGAGTTTCAGTGTGGCATGAAAATATGATAAATTTAAATCAGAACACATGTTAACGGAGTGATAATATACTTACCCATGAATTCATAGCGCATCCATTTTCAATGCTCCAGATGTCTGTAGTATCAAGCATTTTCAGGCGATTTTTAGTCCATTTAGTAGACGAGTACTGGCATGTAGAGCTGAGGATTTTTTCTCAGATTCTAAATTTCACTTGTTTTGCTTTTTTTTGTTCTACAATTTGTAATGCGCTGCAGTGTCATGTTCATAAACGACACATGTAGGTCGATTTAGCTAATTGAAATGAAATCTGTGAAATTACCCTCTTATATCGACTATGAGCACACTAAATGAACGTAAAGATGCTAGATATCACATTTTTATTGAAAACGAATAGCTCTCCTCACACTAGGTGGATAATGTTTTGTTTTTGCGAAATTAATCAAAGCGTCATTTTCATTGAACGTTTAATGAATAATGCTCTGTTGACTATACTGTCTATTTCTATACTTCCAATTTTTTGTTTTCGAAACATCCTTTATTCATAGATCTCACTTTCCTTTGAATTCGCAATTCAGTAGTTGCTGTCATTTTATTATGGATAATGCACATACACCAAATTTTCGTGTTAAAACTTGTCTATTAGAATATATGAAAGATCTAATTTTAATGATGAGTCCAGATTTGATTGCTAATCCATCAAATGAAGTTATTAATGCAATTGGAAAAATTATCAGTTGGTCTGCTGAACCAAAATCAGCCGATGTTCGACGAGTTAGTACTGTGGATTTGTTACTTTATAATGTTTTTGTATATATTGTGATTTTACATCATCGTGTATTATTCTAACCTTAGTTTTGTTTTCTTATAATTTATCCAATAAACTTCCGAATTTGACTTTTAAGACAATTTAGTTCTGATCAATGTCTTTGTAGCTTGAAACCTCACTATTTTGAGTCACACCTATCTTTATTTGGTTACTAGTTGATATAGTCTCTAATTTTATAAATTTATAAATCCATCAAAAGTACGTGTATCGAGTCCACGAAAACCTAATTCCACGAATTTTAAAGGTTGTGCTATCACCGTGTTAGATCTTCCCTCCTATTTAACTAACTTAGCTACTTACAATTTTATTCCTAACATGCAAAATGTTCGTGTCGTGTCAAACAGGGGTGAAGACAATAATATATGAAACAACAAAACAGCTCTTAATCCTGACTTCTGAGGACTTCCAAGCACATTTGAAACAATACAAACAGAACTGTATTAGCACAAATGGGATATATGTTGTAAAGAGTATTCCATAATTTTAGTTCATTATTTTATTGGGACATAGTATTACAGTTATTCAAATTTGTATTAATATGCTTATCATAGCAACTTAAGCCAACGTACTTCTGTATCAGGTTCTATGTTGATGATGTCCTTCATCCTTTTGTCATCCATTATTTAACAATATTTCAAACTATATTGACGCGAATTTTCAGCTATATACAACTAATTAATTGATCATATTGTAATTATTCATTGACTAAAATTTATTTAGTATTTGTTATTGTGTATGTTCATTCACGCACATTTCCAATAACCAATAATTCAACCTAAAAGCATATGTGTATGTTAGTATCAATGAATTTGGCGATACAATCATTAAAATTATATACTACACATACTGGTTGCATATCTTTATGTTAGTTTATTGCTAAAATAAAAAGTCATTTGACACTTCAACGTTTTGATAAGTTTGCTTTCGTATTTGTTCATTGATCAGTTAACCTACCTTCTTTCATGTATGAAAACTAAAGACTGAAGATATTAATTAAACATGAATTTTTGAGTACGAAATTAAGGTTCGTCTAATATTGAAGTCATCATTGGGTTTAACTTCTCACAATCTGGTTATTCACTTCCTTAAAGAATGTATCTTTCGATCCTGTGGAAATCAAGATTTGTATTGAGGAACTGTTTGACATCGGCCATTCACAGTATTTTTGACATCCCTTATTCAGAGCCCATTTGTCATCAAAATAACACGTTTCGTAATAAAACTATCGAAACAAGGTGTAATGCCCAATATCAAATTTCCATCATCATTTTACTTCTAGTTTTTCTTAGTTCTTCAATAATCTCTTTACTTTTATGCCTGAGTCACTTTCGAACTGATATACATCTGATCTGTTTTTTGTCCCTTGAAGGTACATGAGTTTATTTTGCTCTAGTCATCCTCCATCTCGTATTAGTGATTTCCTATCATTTTTCTACCTTGTATTCTTTAGATGGCTTCCCGTGTTGTTATCAAATTGTTCGATTTGAATTCCACAAGTTTCTCTAACTTATTACAATCACTGCCTCGTGGAGTACAAGATCGTGCACATGAAGTATTAAAAACCTATCAAAAGACTGCTACAGGTGGTGGTCTAATCAATTTAACCGACACTAATCACAATTCTCCTTCATGGAAATCATCGTAAGCTAAATTGTTATCATTTTTATTATCATTCATTCCATCTTTAAACTGAAATTCTCTCTCTTTGTAATTTAATTCATTTATAGGTAAAACGCTATTTATTAATAGATGTTATGTTGTTTTCATCTTTATATAAGCTTAATAATTTGTTTATAAATCTTAGGACAAAATATATTTTTGGGAATCTAAGTTATTCGTTAATTAGTTATTTATTTATTCATGAAGGCTTTCATTTTGTTTATTGAGTCTGTTGTTCATAAATCCTTCAAATACCTTCCTTTTGCCTGTATATATACCGTGCATATATATCACTATAAGGTATAATTTAGCAAAATCCGCTACTTCATGCATGTTTATTATTCCCCCTTGTGCGTGTGTGTGTATTTATTTACGTAAGCGTTGTTAGCCTACATTATTACATTACATTTGTATTCGTTCATACATCTCATATATTTATGTATTTTGTGTTTTATCTCTCTTATTGCTTTTATTGTCTTCATTCTCATTCTACTTCTTTTACTCCTACTACTATCACTACTAATACGGCTGTTTCAGTTCAGGATCATTGAGGAAATATTCTCTGCCTGTAACATCAACAGGTCGAAGTCCTATGACTAGGTTTGTATCATTGTTTTTTCTTTGTTTTGTTTTCATCATTATGTCATTTGTTTGTTGTTTGGTCCGTTAATGTTTATTTATGCACTTAATCACCTACTTTTTTCATGTCATGTCATTTCATGTATCTCTGTATTCGTTCGTGTGTATGTTTACTTTGTGTACTATTCATACATTTTATTGCTTTTAAATAAGTAGTATAGCGTTACATGTTTTACTATTGAGATCTTGTGATTGCTTACCTTATTTCATCGTTGATGTATGCATGTTTACGTGTCTTATAATTTTGATTAACTATTCACCACCGCACTACTCCTTACATTTTAGATTTATAAAGTGCTAAAATTTTGGCACATGTCCTTTATACCATCATTTTTATGATTATTTACCTTTCAACTAGCTTGCTTAATATGATCATAACGGTTGGCCATTTTTCTCTTTAAATACGTCTATAAGTTGTAATTCACTCTTGTCAGATCAATATCCTTCTCAATCAGACGTATGTCTTGTAGGCTCTTTTTAACGTTTTCGCAATCGCTGTTTAAACAAGACTGGTTGCTGTGGACATTGTTTGCTTCAGGATCAAAATGTCCAATCTTGACTGCTAATAATCTCAAGTACACACCATTATTAATTGAAGCATAGTGGTTTATTTGTTAAAACACTTAGCTTCTGACAAGTTGGTCATGGTAGCCGAATAGTATATGACTAGCCTCTCACTTGTGACTCAAAATTGAGTGCATATACCTGTACTTAACAAATGAGCTATGTGAATTTTTTAGTGATAGATTCTATTGCTATTTTCATTAAGATGTTTCTCATTTCCATTTTTGTAATGACAAAATCAATATGGGTAACCTGAAGTCGTACGTCTACTAGTTCATTTACTACAGCAAACAAATATACCCATTATTAACTTTATGCCTATCATCTTTGTTAAACAAAACTTCTATTTAGTTGTTTTCATAAGTTAAATCTACGTTGCTTTCTTTTATCGTCCAGTGTTTAATTCCACTGATCAGGGAGATAACCGTTTGAAAGAGTCTAGATAGTGCTAGATCAAGATTTCAATAACTAATAAATAGTACCTTGTCAAAAGATGAAAACTTTCTGATTCTCAGAGTTGTAAACTATTCGTACATCACTTACATTCAGAAGATCTCCAGTCCCTTCACTAAGTCACTTTATTATTAATACCTGTTTCTCGTACTGTAATTTAAAATAGAATAAATCAACATCAATACCTACCAGATACTATGCTGTTATTGTTTTCATAACTAACTGAAATCTGAGCTTGTCGTTAGCTTACTAATCCATTTTAACTAGTTTATGGTTTACAAATGAACCTTCTTATGTAATACTAACACACTATCGTAACCAGTGGTTGGAGAATCTGAGTGACACGACTCAGATCGATCACAATTGCGTAGGTATATATACTATTTATTTTCCCTTAAACCGTGAGATTTAAATTACTTTATTCCTTTCTTTCTACAAACTAATTCTTTCTCCCTGTATCATATCCTTATATGCAATCGTTGTTTTATATATTAGTACCATTAAATTAACTACTTCTATGAATTTGGTGTTCATCTTGTTGTGCTAATGAGGTATGGCAACTTGGCCCGTTGCTTATATACACCTGGTCCTACGTTGTACATGTCTAATTGATTAACTAAAAAAAACCTAATTTCTTACACAAAATCACTTTCATCTCAGTTTCATTATGCTTGTTTTTTTTTCTTTCAGAATATTTTGCTGGCTAATTATTTCTTCTTCTTCTTGTTCATAATAATAATAATCATTATTATTATTATTATTACTACTACTATTATTATTATTACACATATGAAGTCAATTTTGTGTGTATGTTTCACACAGAATGATTAATAAACAACCGTTACTATATGCACTAAAAAATCATTTGTCCGTTTAATGAATTGTTTAACTTGTGTTCTTGTTAGAGAATGTGTATTTTTGATAATGAATTTATTCTTAGAATGATACGTCTCATGCATGTTACTATTATAGCCAGCTTGATACAACTGCTTAATTATCTGAATTGATTGAATAGACTCATAGGACTTATCACGGAATTCTTATTGAGTAGATAAAAAAATCAGTTGAAAGAAATATATCAGGGGATAACTTATAAAATTGAATGAATATTACAAAAATATTCAAGGATATTTCAACACATTAAATTACGTGTAATCTTCATACATGTAAATATATATTTATTTATATTTCTTATGTGTTGTACGTCTATTCTGTCTGGTGTAATGTGTTACACATGAAGATAGTGTTAAGTTGGATAGATTAGAGTCCCAAATTAATACATATTGTTATTTTTTGTTGTTAGTTCGAATCCTTCTTGCTATGTTAATGTATTCTGCCAAACAAAACATAGTATGCCCGTGATCGACGTCATTCGGGTATTTTGTACAGTGTAGTAACTATAAGTTACTGTTTTTATGTGCGTTATCTGAGTCTAATATTGGTGTGCAAGCTTTCTACACACCAACCCCACGTGGCCACATAAGTAAGAAATTTTTTGACTAATTGAATCGACGTGTATGTGCATCCAGTTGTTTATGTATCTGTTATCTTAACGATTATCCCTCTAATGGTACATGCTTACTCTCTTAAGAAAAAACAATTTCACATAAACTATTCATTTGACCTGTTCCTGATTGATTCAATCTATCAGTTATAGGCTTATTTTTGGTTTATTTTAATAACTAACCTTCAGATATATCAACATTTTTTCTCTCACAATCATCATCCTTTTTTATGTGGTGTTGGGTTTTTGACACTAAGATCCACCAAGACTACTAAACTAGTATTAGTTTGTAAGTGGCTAACTTACTTAGCTAATACACCACTTCGACAATTTGATTGATTTTAGTTTTTGTATAAAATGGACAGTTTTTTAAATGATTTTAATCAAAATAGTGTTATCTATTTGCTGACATCATTTCCTCTTAATAGTTGCATTAGTGTTAATAATGCTACCATAAAACATATTACTGAAAAAAGTATTTTGATTATATGACTAATTTTAACCATCTATACATGTGTTTCTATTTACACTAACAAATATACGTTAATTTGTTTATGTTCATTAATTCAAATGTGTACTAATTACCTTTCCTTTTTTCACCAAAATAAAATCTAAGCATGTTTTAATTGATCTGCTTTCAGCGATTGTGTGCTCATTTTTAATCTATTCTAGATTTTACCACTATGCATAAATCCATACGTATACTTTGCCTATAGGATTGTCTTTCAAGTTTTATGATATCTTTTTATAGATCTGCTGATCAAGATCATATGATTTTTTCACCACCAAGCAGTGGACGATATGGATCAATCTCTGGACCATATTATTCTTCACAGCGTTCTCATAACTCTACTGGCAGTGACAGTGGTCGAGTAAGCCCTGAAAGTATGAATCGTATTATTCGTGAAACAACCGATGGCCTTCAATCACTTTCAGTTGGTGCGAGTGGGGGTGGTATTCCAACGTCAGCGATAACAAGTCCAACACGCAGAGTATCTGCTGATCCCAGCTTTACAACTAACGATTATACATATGCTACAAATGGTAATACAGGTGTATTACGTACTGTTCAACCAAATAATTTTCTTAATTCACAACCAACATCATTACAGCCACCTAATATTATTCCATCTAATGTAAATCAATGTTATGCTTCCTCACAAGGTACTACTGCTTCTAATGACCCAACACTGCAGTCTACATATGGGTTACGTACAAATAAAGTAAGTGATTACTTATAAAACTGTATTATTACATCCAGCGTCTGATTTTCAGTGATCCACGTTTCTTATGAATAAATGTATAGCTTATTGAAACTACAAGTTGCACTGTTTATTCAATTGACTGCCTTTGATTCACATTGTAATTACCATAATTTACCCTGTCAAATATAAAATTTTGAATCATTTATTGACGTACTTGTCTTTTCCCATTTAGCAGCAATAACTGATAAATACTACACCGATTTAAGCTTTAATGGTTGAACAGCATCATCAACACTGCTACACGGATCTATGTACCTTATCATACAGCATTTATTCTCATTTGCGTTATAACTTATTCAGACAAAATGTGCTCAATTGTTGTTGTGACTAATTACCACAGATCGAAAGTCTTGACCACGCATCAGTGTGTATCGATTTAGTTTTGGTACGACCAAACGGAAGTGTTCTGATAATACATGAATCAGTGGCAACCCAGTGGCACATTTATTTATTTTATTTTATTGAGTCTCAGGTTATCAATTAACTATATCTGATCTGTTACTGTTAAACATTAAATCTTTTTCTAAAATTCTCTCATTATCCGAGTACTTGGATATGAGCATACCATTATAATGATACGTGGTTACTTGAAATGAAGTAGGTGTGGTGGAGCTTGACGTGAGACTTAGTAACAACTAAAGTCGAATGGCCTAACCACTAAGCCACCGTTGTTAGATAATCATAATTATAAAAAATAACGCTGTTTTGTGTAGATTTCTGAACACCTTAAAACTCCAATAAAGTTGAGTTATGAGTTGATTGATACTAATTCATCCAAAAACAGGAAGAATTGATTAATAAAATCATTTCGACTACGCTGCGCAACAAATCTACTCTTACCGACCAGTTATCTAATATTTTGACTTTTAATTAAGTTACTACATATCATATTTCTCCATTAAGTCATTCATAAGTCTTATGTTGTTCATTCCTTCTTTTCTTCTCTATTCATCTCTTTATAATATTGATGTAGATACTCTAAATATACAGATAATTTTAATGTATGCTCCGCTTCGTAGTTTTCTGTACTTGACTAGATAACAAATTGATTTCTTGCTGGGTTGTGTTCACTTATCACTCATACTCTTATCAACACTAAACTCAATGAATTTAAATCAAAATCGCCTTTCATTTATTATGTACAATGTTTGTTTTTTGATCATTTTCCAGGCTCTTTTAAATACACTTATCAATTATGATCCTGGTGATGGTAAGTGAAGTCAATTTGCTTTATTCTTCTCTTTCCTTTCACTTGTTCATCTATGTATATACTTAATATTATTTTTCTGTGTTGTTAATTTAAGAGGAAATAGGTTTCTAATTTATTAAAATAAACTTTGACTATGTCAAAGACTAGAAAGAAAAAATCAGTCATGTTAATTATTCTATACGAAAGTTAATGATAAAATCAATGTGTCATCTTACATGTGTAGCCCAGTATCTGACTCCTGTTTGATCGTACGAAGGTACTATAAACATAAATGTTTCATTTAACTCTGTATATTACTTAGGCTAACCCCGCTTGTGTGATGGTGGTAATATAAAGACGAATACGGATTGCGTTGGAGAATTTTTACTTCAAACACTCGTTTATTCAGACGGACAATCAGAATGAGGACAGCGAAGACGAGGGAGCCAACTCGATTTGATCAACCGTAACTCAATTTTTATAGTCAGACAAAAATAAGCTACAGACATATGATGAATAGGATAGGCAATGCACACATCTAAAAACAGTCAGGGTTAATAAGCGGATAATAATAATGGTCAAAATGTGACTAAAGAGGAATGGATAAATTGTTTTTTCAGAAAGTTAGAATAATCCTTGTGAGCCTAACATAGCACCAGACACTACACATATATACTGTGTGCTCTCCGATTCAATATTGCTTCCTCTTTAAGTATAATCTGATATACATTGAATTAAAGCCACAATTCTTTAATAAATATAATTTTATCACTCAACTGCTATGGGAATTTCTTTTATTTCCTCTAATTTTTTTATAATTTCAACGCATATTGGCATCTATTTTCTATATCCTGTTTTATAATTGCTTCTTGCCTAAAACCACCGTTACAATAATTAATATATTTTCACAATTCTCATTTCTCTTAACAAATAATCAAAAAAGTTCTATACCTTACTATCATATTTTTATTTAACTAAATATATATCTGTTTTGGAAGCTTACATTTAAATTACTTAACCTGTTTAATGTTTAGTTCGTTCAGACTACAACTCTATTGATCGATTTTTGTGTCCACATAGAACACTACACTTTATCTCAACTAATTCTAACTTGAACTAGTCGGTTAGTTACAATCTAATACTTCTATACATTGATCCTAGCTGCCACTTTCGAACAGTATCCCAGCCCTTACACAGATCGAATGATTTGTGTGGCGCATATGTATTTGATGTCTCCTTGTACTAATGTTTATGTGTTTAAATAAATAAACAAGAGAAAAACAACTATATAAATATCACATTAGTAGTGTATTGGATGTTACTCACGAGGTTGTTTGTAAGTAATATATTGCGTAATGTGACCTCGAAGTGGAGAGTTTCAGTAAAGCGAAACTACTGCGTAGACAGAACACTTGGAGACTAACCGAAAAAAGTTCAAATTGCAGAACACATCGAAACATACGAATAGATGGTTGAAGGCTATATATATGTACTATATAAACGCTTTATAACTTAAGTATAGATTCCTTCTGCTTATTGTCTTGTTTTACAGTAATGGTAGTATCGATGGTAATAAAAATATTTTGTTATCATGAATATGACTCGAGAAGAAAAATTTACCTTGAGGAATAAAAAGTGTAAAATCATTTTCAATTTCAGTATATAGGCCGTGGAGGGAGACAAAAACTAAATGTATCTACTTCATTACAACCCATTCTGAGTTGTCTCGTATAATTTCATATCAATCATGTGAATTCTAACCAGTTAAGGCAGTTTCAACTTACCAATACGGATAGCTGAAACTAACAATATGCAAATGCCAGTTTGCTGTGTTGAAAGTGTATATATATATATATATATATGTATAACTTTTTTCATTTTGTGTACATACCGATATACTTAATTTAATTTGTTGTCATATTTTTCCATAATGAATGAAATTATTTTTCATTCACTATTATCATTATCATCATAATACATATTTTACAATGAATAGGGCCAAAATTAAAAAAACCTGTAATTGGTTATCAGACGTTAAAAAAAATACGCGGTAAGCTTTTGTTCTGTTCACTGGAAAAGAAAAAATAAGAGCAAAACAAAACATTTTCATTATATTTATTTGTTTATCACTAGTATAAGTGAAAGCACTTATATATTGTTACATGTGTGTTAGCTAGCTCTGTAATGAGTGTATTGATATTTGTGTTTGTTGTTATTGTTGTTGTTGTTGTTAAGACTGTAAGAATGGATTGTTCAATGTATGCTATCGTGTTTGTTTATTTACTTAGTTTTTAAACTCTCCTATCTTGCACATTTTTTCTCTCTACGGCTACTTAGAATTAATTATCTCTGTAAATATTATTGCTTTCCACCATAATAATAATAATTATTTATTAACAATTTTATGGTGATTTCTTTGTATGGTTTATGCAATCATGCTGTGTATTTGTTATTATTATTTATTTATGCATAAATTATAGCACATACTTTTTTCTTCATTAGATTATTTCTCCTTTAATTGTTTGTTTATGTTTGTCCGGTATTCACGGATCCTACAATTTGATGATGTTAATTATGTGATAATCACATAATAAAATCATTTCTGTGTTGAAGCATGTATTATCTGTTATATAAGCATGTGGCTTACCAGTGTTTATGTCAATGTCCAATTCTTTTATAAGCATACAGTTTGCATATTAATTTGTAGTTTCCAATCTTTTTCTTTGTTGTTGTTTAGAAATGCCCCCAGAAGATATCATGTCTGAAATACTCCAGGAATTATCGAATCACAATGAACGGTAAGATAGATTAAGATTTTCTTGTAGATTTTTCCTCTCCTTTTCAGTCCACAAATATGTTTTTTTAAATATGTTGTTTGTGATTTTGATTTGTGTATTAGTGTTGTTTTTCTCGAAACTTATCATGAACACATCCATTCTGTTTAAGATGCACTATACTGTGACGATAATGCAACCAATTTTGATAGCTGTGTATTGACTATCTTCAACTGGCCCAATATCAAATTGAGAACTTCTCAATACAAATGCAATTTAACTAACCATATTTTAACTGTTTTTTGCTTTTTATTCGATCAGTTTTCTGTCTTGATTTGTTGATAGACATTATAGTATGGAAATTCATCCTTTACTCATGCCCTGGATAATTTTGTTTGGGATAATATTTTTTCTTTCCATTTTCAAAACTATCTTTCTTGTTCTCTTTTTCTTGACTGTCCTCTTATATTGATTGTGCCTGTCCATGTGTTCATCGAGCGTGAAACTGACTTACCTGTGTTCGCCCATCTAGTGAATTTCCCTCAATTCTGAGTTGTTGTTAACTATTAACATTTACTTGTTTCATTGGTTTGCCTAGTTTTTTTTTAAAGATTTCTTCATATTCTGCTAACAGATATTGGTCGAGTATTAGGCAATACGTTTTATTTTCAAAAATGTACCCGATAATTGTTTGTTGCAACTGACAGTGTACAACCACTGAGTAAGCTTTGATACATATCAATTTAATAATTGCGTTGTCACAAACTTTATCCTTCCTAATGCACTGAGCAAGCTGTGGACCAACTCCATTTCGCCTTTTTACCAGTAGGTAGTACAGTGGAGCATGTAGATGATGGAGTTCAGAAAGAAAATATCCGTAATGACTAATTGTTCCTAAGAAAGATCGTAAAGTAAAAATATCCGTTGTTCTGGGCAACTTCCATATTCTCTGAATCTGGTCGTTGTCTATCTCTATCTATTATGAAACCGAGTTTGCGTACCTGGTGCATATAAAACCATATTGGCCTATGCGTGATAGCCTGATCAGGTCTTCTTTGTATATCCATTATGTTTTCTTCCATGATTATGATGTCATACATATGAGCTACTGTTCCTGGAATACCCTGTAATATGGCATCCACAAATTGACTCTAAAGGGCTTCCATGATTCTTATTTGAGACTGAAACACTGCATGTAGACTTCTAATTGTTCGAAAGAAACTTCCACAGTAGATTTTTTCATCGCTATTGATGAGTGTTCTAACTGAACGCTTGAATTGGTTTCCTAATCTCTTCTAATATCCCCAGGCTAAATCTACACGACAACTTGAACACGAGAGAAAAGCCACGAAGTCTGAAAACATTACTTTACTCTTAGGTTAGTTAATGTAGACAAAAATGAGGGTGTCTATACTATTTCACATGACCTTGTGAGGATAGTGTCACTCACTAACTCCTAGATTCACAATGTCTTTGGACCTATTAAACAAATCCGTATCTGGTATACAAGTTAACGATTGGTTAACGTTTTCAACTATTTCCCATATTTATTTTTTACCGTTTTTATTTTTTTTTTAAATCTTTAAATCTCATCATTTGTATATTTTCGCATTGAAAAAGTGATTTACCTATTCGGGTTTCTCTTTTTTTAGTACATGAGTATACCAAAACTAGTTAATTGGTTACTTAAAGAATTTATCATTTATATAATTTTCTCAGTTTATATTTATCTTCTTCAAGTGTTTGAATACAGCCATTTAGATTATTCTTTTTGTCTTATGAATCAGTGTTAATTAGCAAGCTACAACTATTGTGTAATAATAGTCGATTGTAAACAACAGATCACATGATATTTCTCCCTTTTTCTAATTAGTGTTCAACGTCTTTTATGGGCTAGTTTACTTATTCTCACTTTCTCTCTTTTCCACATAAATGACATCGTTAATTGTCTTCTTTGTCGTTTTATCCTAAATTGGTTATTGTTTACATTAAGTACAAAAAGTGACAAATTGATTTCCTTTCCCTTTAATTGAGAAAAAATCAGAACGTTATCTTTATGTTTGTCAATTAATTTGCTCTGAATAGTTTTTCTCTCTTCTGATTACCTAATTGATTTCTCGTTACGCCCCCTTTTCTTCGTCGTCTTTGATTTTCTAAAAAAAAAACAGTATTGATTTCATATATTTGCATACTTGTTTTTTTCCAATAATTATGTTTGATATTCAGTAGAGAAAAAGTTCTATGTAGTGCTTCCCAATCTATACTCCATTCAATATGTATTAACAGAGACCATTCATTTTATTTTGTGATTAGTAAAACAAATTTATTGCTTCTAACTTATTTCTCTGACTAGTAGTATTTGTGTGACTGATAAGTTGTTTTTTCCTGACTTTAGGCGTATCCCCAAAACATTTAGTAATTTCACTTGCAACCATCATACAATCTTACATTCTATGCTGGAATTTATGTCGCTGTCAAGGAAGGTTCCACTTTAAGAAACCTAAACAATCTCATACTAGAAGGTTTCTTCGATTCAATTATAAATACATGTTCAGCAAATGAGAACAAATTCCATATAAACTTTTTCCCCATCTCCTCAATAGTTTTTTTTATTAAAAAAATCATGTAATTAAGAAACTTATTCTCTTTAGTGCCAATTTCTTTCGTAAGCTTAAATTTCGTAAATGGAATACCTTTTTTTTTACAATAATGTGTTGTAACGGGTAGATTGCAGGTTAGATGCGCAGCGTTTTATTGATCGATTCAGTGACACGTAAACACGAAATGAACAACCTAGAGTCCCGATTGGCCCTGCTCCGCTGTCTAGCCCAGCCAGTTGAGTCCAGAACGCAAGTCTTAGCCTCTGAGATATGAATCGTTATATTTCAAACATACTCTGTTTATATACCAACCAAACAGACCACATCGTACCATAAAAATAGAAAGCAACATATGTACAATATTTAACGAGTGAAATAAATAATGGCCAATAGGGAATGTTCATTTAAAGTCCAAGGACATCATTAGACTTAACATGATAATGATTGGTATATTCCTCTGCATCCCTAACAAATATCATATGCTTCAAACTATAGGTTTATTGTTCAATTGTATAATCTGGAAAAATTGAAGAGAAAAAAAAACATTAGACAAAACTTTTTTTCGTAGAATTTTCTATTTATAACAAACATACACATGATTTTCCAATTTCTATCATTTAATTAGTAAACATTTCTAATAATACTTCTCATCACTAATCGGATCGTAAACCACTATTAATAATGATCATAAACTTAGACACTTTTGCATACTTGTGTATTATATACATATATACATGTTAAAGAGGTGATTTATCATAGCCTAATTTGCTTCAACCAATTTACTATGATCAGTAAAGTATGCTACGATTGTTTTTTTTTTAAATTTTTATTTGCATGTCTATACATTGTTGAGTAGGCGGTTACTGTTAATTTCATTATTTCATCATAAATTATTTCGATTCAATACATACTTTTCCACATGCACTCATAAGTTTGCATAACTTTTTCCCGTTAATTTTTCCTATAAAGTAAATGATAAACAATAGATTATCATCATTATTGTGTGTTTCTGTGAATGTTTTGTAACATTTATTCAATGAATTAATGAAATCAATTCCCATCTAGAGATAATGTCACGTGAGTGCTGGTGTCACCATTCTCTTTAGTTTCTCACGCTCCCGCCTCCTTTTATTTTTTTATTTTTTTGATGTTTATGAACACTTTTTGTTTCATTACTATCAACATTTGTTTTTAATTTGACTAGAAAATGTATTGAATATTGGGGTTGTTTAATTTTGTTTATTTTCGTTTTTTTTTTAAAGTAAATTATTCATAACACTCTCACTTTTAAAAAGGACTGCTAACAAAATTATATGTCACACAGTTTCTTCACAATCCTTAATATCGATTTGTGGCAATCATTTTGCTGAGATTTGATGTAAAATAGAATTTTACTTGACTTTAACGGCTAGGTTAAAATGTCTAAATGCAACATAGTTCTCAGAAAATTACCAGAAAATCCTAGTCCGTTTTGTCCGAAATGTACTTCTCTAAGACTTAGTGGCAGTGGCAGAATAACTCAGTCCGTTACCGATAGAAGCTGTGTACTCGAGATTAGGTTCTTGAAATATACTTGTTAGCATTATAACCAAGATGTCGTTGGCTAGTTGAGTTACTCTATATTGTAGTGGGTTAACTGTCATTCATTTCGATATCTTGACACCTAGAATTACCCGTTTTTATAATGTAAGTATATATGTTTCAGTGGCTGAATGGTTGATCGATGTAACCTACTGTCTAAACATTTCATTCTTGTTTATAGTTTTAGTGCTTTCTATGTCTATTCAATCATTGCTTACTACTTCAACAAATTTTCAACAACCGTTTTTATAGTTTTCTCAATATTCCCATAGTGTAGACTTTGCATTTTTCTTTTCACATTAACGGAAATTGTCTGTGTTTTGCTTTTGAACAAAATGACAAAGTTTCATTTGTTATGCACTTTTCAATTTTTCTGATGCGTATTGACTAATTAGTTCGCAAACTTTATAATATTTTTACTGTTAATATTTAAGTTTTATTCTCGTTATTGTTACTATCAATCTTCCTTTTGTACGGTTTCGAAGTAAGGTACTTAGTAAGTATTGCATACAATCATTGAGTGTTCGGATTCAAAACTTATTTTCAACTAGTAACATTAATCACTATACATAAAATTATTAGACTCGATCACGTTATACTTAAGATACACGATTCAACACAAAATACCAGAAGTCTACACACAATGAAACTCAGAGTAGAAATCAACAGTAGAAAGGAATTCACAGTCGTAAATACTGTCTCATAGATTTAGCAAACCCTGTGTACCTGTTTATTTTGCTGATTGGCCATTCACATCAATCTGGTGAAGATCAATGTGTTAAATCTGTATTTTAGTTACCAACCTACTCTTCTGATGGAATACATAAATTAATGAAATTAGAAAGAATCATTCATCTGGGATTTATGTGCCAAGAGAAAAATAGTCATAAATAATTAATAATAAAATAAAAATAACTTTGGAAATAGATATTGATGACATTAAATAGACTCTAAATCAATACTGTTATTCCTCTTTAAAACAGACACTATTTAAAGTAGTCAATATTGATTTGTTCTTTTTTTTCTCAAATACAACTAATTGTTTCGTGAACTGTACAAATGTGAATTGAAAAATCAACAAAGAGCCCGGCATAGATATGCGTTGATCTGAATTGCTATACCTGATTAACACGACGAGATAAAAGTAGCAAAAGTGATCGAAGTAACGTAGTAATAGTGATAAAAAGAAAGACTAAATCCCGGGAATATGATTTTAAAAGATAGGTTGGGAAAGTGTATATGAAAAAATACTGGAATTCAAGATCGGGGGAAAAAAAGAAGTGAATGCCTTTATTATGAACTATTCCGAGCTATTTCACTCGAAGCTTCCAATCACCGATCGTGGTCCTTCGCCAACAATTTCCATCCACCTACCTGCATGACTTAAACCTACAGTCAAGTGACTTCATGGACTGATGGCACATTTTGCTTTGGTGCTACGCCTTTTAACTTTCTTTCAACTTACTCCAACAGTAGATATATGTCGTCGAGTTAAGCGATAGTTAGGCATATGTAACAGTACAAATACTTTGACAGTCGATAATGATTGATCCTGAATTTTCCTATATGAGAAGCCCATATTTTCATACACAACTAAAACCAACCAGTCATTTAATTCATGTATTGATGCTGCATACTCGGTTCTGCACAAGTCTTTCTTGTTTTTGATTTCCCATCATGTTTGCTGAAGTAGTAATAATTCTTTGTTATTCCGTATATTATTCGAAGAGCTTTCCTTGACTATCAAATTATTTTCCATACTTTGATGAGGTTATGTAAGCGAGGAAAATATCTTCCAACGTTTGCTTTTTCTTGAATCTTGTCCCCTTTCTCTGTTATTTTTTAAACTACTTTATAATTCGTGTATTTTTTTACATTCACACCCTCCTGGTATATGGATCAGTTTATTCATTCCCGTAGTTTGTTTAGGATATCAAACACGAGTCCTGAATAGTCCTTTTCAAACCACACTAGTTATATGAGCATTCGGTTAGTTAGAATGTCATTCCATATGCAATGTAGAAATGGGTACATATGTGCATTATGTGAAGTTACCATACCATATGCACATATCAAAATAAAATCTTTAAGACGATCTCAGAGCAGTAGAACTATTATTATTTTAAATTATAGTAAAAAGAATTAGACATATAAGAAATAATTGTAGAAGAACGAAAATTACTTCATGTATTTTATTTCAGCAATTAATTTAAACTCATGATCTAGAGGAAGATAAAAAGTAATTGCATTTCGCCATTATGATCAATATCATCCAACGTTTAAATCTGTTAATTGTGTGGACCACAACCAAGTAGTCTGCACCTAACAACCTGGTTCAGAACAACAGTCAGCAACTTCATGGTTTGATACTACATTTTCCTTTGGCCTCTCCTAGCTTTCTTTTAACTTCACCAGTTATCATTACCTGTCGAGGTAGGAAGTGGTTGGAGTATATGTAATATGTGTTCCAACCAAGATCTACAAACAACTTGGTAATTTCCTTGATACCCTGCATTCAATCTCATTGTTCTTATTGCTTCAAATCTGAAGTCGACAGACTTATTAAGATCCATGATAGCACTGACCAACTAGTAGAAAATAAAACTTATTTACAAATAGTTCCAGTCTAATAACTCAAACGATTTCTCTATGGAGTAGTGGCTACATTACTCGCTCTAATTCAATGTAAATAGTAATATTAGCTCTCAAACCCAAATAAACATATGACTCGAAGCCGAATATATATATATATATATGCCCGGCATTAAGTTTATTCGTTTCAAATGTGTTCTGCAATAAAAAAAATTGTATGACAGTATGAATAAAGTTCATCAAATAGCCAGTGGAAAACTATACTTTTGTCCATTTCATCATGTACACTATACGCAAACAGAAAGTTTTTAACTGGATTTTTAAAAATTGTTTACATATACTGTTGTTGCTCCCAATATAACAAATAAGCATCAAATCGAATATCAGTGCTAAAAATATCTCCATTTGAACAATATATTATTGTTATTTGTAGCATTGTGAATATGCAGATGGCAATCAGGGTATCCTAAACATATATTGAAGTGATATTATGTATGTCAAAGTATTCTTCTAAACCTCAAACTCTCATAACTAAACTTGCTAATAGAAATTAATAACTAAACAATACAGTTCACTTCTGGAACTACTATGAAAGACATACATGTTAACATGATTGAAATAAATACATACGAAGAACAATCAATCACACATGTCAAGTCATTCATATTAACAGCTTACATATTCAGCGGAAGTCTTTTTCACATTATTTCCATTTTTGTATTTTATTAAAAGTTAAAGTTATAAGAAATAAATATTCCTTCGGTTTGGGCAAACGGGTAGTATTTCAGCCCTCACACAAATGGAATGATAAAGTGTGGCACATATGTATTTGGGGCTTCCTTGTACCAATGTTTATGTGTTTAATTAAATAAAATTCACTCAGCTGTTGTTTTCAGTGCATTCATAGATTAGTAGAAGTAATGGTAGTTGATTAAGATTTTTGCAATCTTAGCATTTTTAAATGGCGTCGATTCGAAAAACTAATGTATAAACACTCAAATGTCTTTCAAACGATCTTGTTAATTTCTAAACAATTGGATCATGTAATTGGCTTAAAATATCATTCATTATGTATGTAGAAGCATTCATTTGTCTAATTTGAGGAGAGAAAAGCTAAATAATTTCTTAAAATATCTCCCAGAACTTAAGTAATCCAACAACCCACTATTTTAACCCTTAATATATGCTCGTCATTAAATAATGTCACTGATGAACTAACGTCTCACTTAGCATAAAACCCATTCCTTTATAAATGAGTTTCGAACAGCGTTTAAACCGACGACTCAGTACTCTTTAGTGTTTAATACCACTTGACATGATAAAGGTTTGTGAAGAAAATCACCCTTAAATTATATATACACATCTCTCTACTAAAGTATAATTACTCTGTCTCATAATTCGTACTTAGAATAGTTTAATGAGTCTATTTCTGAAACTGACAAATTATGGGAATACACTCCACAGCTTAATCCATCGCTATGATATAGATCAGATACTGCCAAACTGTCACAAATGTATATAGGTTGAAGCCTATTTCACAATTTTATGTACGTCCTGCTAAGCTTTTCACTAACAACAGTTTTATTTGTGTTTGTATTTTGTTCAACTGTCTTTTTTCAACGGTGTTCTCTACTTTTTAGTTTGTTTTCGAAGTTTTTTCTACACTGGTTCTTCATTGCAAATTTTTTTTCTTATTTTCATTCTATCTGTCTCACATTAATTCAAGCTATGAACAAAGAAAGACATGTATGTTAAAACTTATCAAATTATTACGTGATGGTGTTATCAGTAATTGGGATGAATATTTCAAGCCAACTTTGTTAATTCTCCTAGAGACATTAGGTGATGATGGAGTGAGTTAAATTTTCACCTTGTAGACAAATTTTTTTTACAGTTCGTTTGAATATGGTATATTTTTCGGTGATGATATATTTCACATGTATTAAATACTATTTGGTGTGATTTTATATAAATAAATCATCTTAATATTACTTGTGGGTGATCAAAATTACTGCAAAACACAAAAACTATTTATAAGCTCGAACTCTAGTCAACAGAGTATATATTTTCAAAGCTCATTTCATTCTATCACTTCAACTTGTAGTTATTTGTGCACATCCATCAACCCAAACACTACATAAACGTTTGATGGTGCAAACCGAATTCAATTATTAATTTACTCTGAAGAAGAGACTTAAGTCGTCAAACGTCGGAATTTCTAATGCTTATTCATTGGGATTATTATAAACTTATTATTATCAACTTTGCTGATATATTTTCACACTAAGAATGTAATGAACACTAATCTTATAAGTGTATTAAGTTCTATATATAATAGATGGCTTAGGACTAGCACTGAAATATAAAAAACGCCTTTCATTTTATTTAGAATTCATCAACTGAAGGTACGTACCTTCATCTCAGTGTTATTGTTCCACCTCTAGCGATAATCGATCCGTTCTGCCTAAAAACTGTGTGACAAAATGACAATATATCATGGCAAACTGCACAAGACACATATCTAACAATAAAGACTAATTCAAACAAGATTATCAACAATGGGATCATTCAAACACTTTCTGGTCATAATAATAAATGTTAAGCTTTATCTCAGGTAATAAATAATTGGTGGGCACCTAACGAAGTTGTTGTAACGGATGAGACTGCAGGTTTTTGATAAGCAGCGTATTTATCGATCGCTTCTGTGATAGTGGACACGTAAACACGTACGGACGACCTAGTGCCCTGATTGGCCCTGCTTCGCTGTCTGTCCCAGCCAGTTGAGTCAAGAGACACAAGTCACAGCCTCTGAGTTATGAATCATTGTATTTCAGACATACTCTATTTATATACCAAACAAACAAACCACATTGTACCATAAAATAGAGAACAACATTTACACAATATTTAATAGGTGAAATAAACTTCGACCAATAGGAAATGTACATTTAAGGTCCAAGGCCACCATAGACTTAACACGATAATTATTGGTATATTTTTCCGACTATCCCAACAGAAGTAAATTCATTTTATTCTTCTCTAATTGTTTTCTTTCCAAAATAAAAAAAGGAACTATATGTGTATAAAAGTTAACTGTTAGTAAACGGTTAACCTCCATGTAAATTACTATTTTAACATACTTGATTTTCACACCACAACAGAATTCGGACACTTGATTATTTATTTTGTTGTGGTTATTGTTTTCTGTAATGAATTCGACCATAAATCTTGCATGTTATATTTATATATATTGACTGGCAAACACCATTACTAATCAATGCATATGTTATTGTGAATGTCTTGAAAAATATTTCTGTATCTTAGCAACTATAAATAATTTTAACCATGGTGTGCTGTAAAGGTCATAGTTAACAGATTTTTCGACTTTAAAATGACGAATTGTTGAATATGATTAGTATTAAAAGATGTCGCTTAACCGAATTTTCATATAGTGTCACCTTGATTTAAACACTTCTTGTAACCGATTATGCTATCTTTAGGACCTTATTTATGGCTACTGGTCTAATATGATGATACAAAAGTAGAATGTTTTGCAGTCTAGTTCCATGTTATTAGATCGTACTCATAGATTAGTTTCACGTAGGGTGCTATCGAAAAGCGAACAGTATTGAATATTAATTCCGTCCCTATGTAAGAATTCTCAATAATGCATACCTACGACCATGCAGGGGTCGAATTTAATGTTCTACATGTCGCTCTGTGAACACTTAATCATTAGAACTGCTGGGACGTCAAAGTTGTGGGGGCACACTTTCACACCGTGATGGTATAGCTGTCCAACGCTCCTTGTTTCTAGAGTTATCCCAACTGAGGTCAACGTGTGATTTATACAGTCTGCAAATTAGATCGGTTCCCGCTATACCTTTCCAAATAATTCCTTGCTAACCAGAGAGTTTCATGTGAATGATAAAACAACAATATCGATTCCTTTGTGTATCTTTCATTATGTGTCAAAAATTCTTGATCAGAATACATATCTTTTTAATTTGCAATCCTCAAGGAGATGATGCTTTGTTTTGATTGTGGTAGTATCACAAATAATTGTTCTGGTTAGTAGCGTATTCTCTGACGTTTAAGGTTTGATTCCAAAGATTTCATCGCTCTGTATAACATCATCAGCCGCCTACTTCAAATAGAAAAAGAGAGCTTTCTGATTATTCCATATGCATTGAAAACCGGTCCACTCTGATGAATTTCTGTTCAACTGGCTTTATCTCATTCAGATTCACCTGTATTCCCGAACATAACAGTTAACAGAACACGTGAATATAAGAAAACTTCAGAAAACAAACAGTTGGACGTCATCAGAATGAACTGGTTTGATGCTTGTAAAATAATCAGAAAGCTCCCTTCTTTTGCTTTTTATAATAGGAACTGATGGTATTTCTCCCAAAACTACAACAACAAAAAATTCACAATTATAAACCATTTACCTGAAAAAACGTAATATAAATGAAACTATTGACATTTGGCTGCAGAACGTTTTTATCTTTTGAGAAATTTCTTCACTTTCAATCAAGTTTTTATTTCTTAAAATATATGTTGCTTGTTTTTTTCCCCACTTACTTTCTACTAGCATGAAACAAGAGCACTTGCACTTCGTGTACTTCAAGAATTAGTACGAGCTAAACCGGAATTATTTCATGATTTCGCTTATTTATTTGTTATTAAAGTACTTGAAGCCTGTCGAGATAGTGAAAAATCTGTAAGTTCTATTTTTAATTACTGTATTCACTCACTTTTGAATGTCTAGATCATTACATTTCATGGACAAAATATTATTATTATTATTATTGTTCACTTATTGTCTGTCATCTGCTTTTTCTTTTGCTAAGAGTCATTCAAAAAAATTAATCAACGTTAATTCTTTGCAACTTAGTAGAGTCTATGTGTTAGACTTTCAACCGTACTTGTTTATATATATATATATATATATATATATATATATATATATATATATATATATATATTACGCCGAGGATTCTTATCCTCTAATCTCATAATCACTACTCTACAAATGCCATTTATTCTATATTCATCTTCGTAGATAATTTTAGTGTTTACTTTCAAACTAATAGTGTTTCGTTCGTAAATTCGCCCCCAGATGCCCTGGTACAGCCGAGTGTAGAGAGAGTCCATTCTCCCTTTGTTAACGATCCGAGTACCTAATGTTATCACCCAACGATGCACTCAGTCCGACTTCATTTCAAATATCTGATCGCTAGCACATCCTAGGTGACTGCTTTAAATCCCACTGATTGTAGTTGTCCTCAATTTAGTAACCATAAATTTAAGTTTTATGCTTTTTTGCTCAGTATGTCAATAAACTAAACCAGAATACAGTTATAAGCAATTTGTGGATGACAGTTTTTTTCGAAATGAAAACAAACTGTTTAAAATCTTCGTAAGTTAAGTAAATAATGTTACTATGTTCATCATTTTTGTATTACTATTATTTCTTCCTTTCCTTCAATCAAACTAGGTTATTCGAGCTGCAGAAGATTGCGCCAATACAGTAGCACAAAATCTTCCACAAGAATTATGTCTCAATGTATTGACACCGTTAATAAATGATTCACAACTACACATTAATTTACCAGCAATTAAAATGCAAATGCAAGTTATACAAAATTCTTCGCCGGAATTAGTACATGAATTTATTAATGC